CATATCCCTGGTGCACTTCTGGTGGCTTTGGCTCGTGTGGTTGGTATCTACTGTAGATTTTGGTTTACAGTAATTGTAGTGTTTGACCAGGTATCACAGATTATCTCAACCCTAATAAAAAAGACTAGGTAAGGTACTCAACTTACTTTAGCAAAATCTAAGTACTGCAAGTTTTTGGCATTGAATAATTGTCAGTTTACGGAAAATAGCAATTGAGCACAACCAATTAATATTAAATATTAGCTACTTACCTATATGATTTATGGGGATATTGTGAGTTGTGAATGATATTGATAATAATATAATACTTATCCCCTTTTTGGAATCCTATACATAGCTTTTTTAAACTTAAAATGAGACTAGGTATAATGAAAGGGATAGGAAGGAGAACTTACATTTTTAAGTTATATTATACTTAGGTATGACCATTTTTATGCAATTCTGAATGCATGTGCAGTTTGATCAGATAACATATGCTTCAATAAATAAATACACACACATTAAAATTACTTTCGTCGACTGTATAATGCGTTAAAGGTTGTCGGACGGAACGAAAGGATTCCATGCATTTGAATTAGTTGGCTCCTCTTTTAAGTACTTAATAGTTGCACATACGTCAAAGCTGCATTATAAAAATACCTAAGTGTGTGAGATTTGAACATTTGTAAGTATCTGTAGGAAGAGAGAGAGAGTGGGAGAGAGAGAAGAAAGTTGTATAAGCTATACACCTTTCATAGCTCTATCCTTGTTTTTCGCACGGAAGATTCACGCTTTAACAAGTCATGGTAGACCCTCTGATTTTTGTTTAGAAACAAAACAAAATGTTTAAAATCCTATAAAACCCAAATGAGTTTATGTAGGCACAGCTATTCTTTCTTTGGAACTTTTATTGCATGTTTAATATTTAAATCACTATCATTCCGAATTTAAAATGCTGATAGCATGTACCTTGATGTGCCCCATAGCTATTTCTGATGCCTGCTATGTAACGTTGGTCATTATTTAAAAACAGAACACACCCGTTGACATAATCGCGCCTCCTTATTCGGCAAAAATACATTGTTTGGTGTGTCCGTGAACAATAGAGTTAACAGTAAAGCTGCTTCTTATTCCGCTCGGATACGGACACGAGGGGACCGCGTCGACCGGTTGGAGTCTGTAAATTCCGTACATTGTAATTCAGATTGAATGTCGAAACGCACGAGTCGGCATGCAACTATGCGGATGCTTCGCTCGTTCGAACTTTGACTTATACTTTGTCGACAACCAGTTGTTTTTAATAAAATGTATCTTTAATTACCTACATATAATTTTCCAGTGGGTAAGTCTCCCGAATATCGCATTCCAACATTTGAATAAACCCATTGGACAAAATTGTATGTTAGGTATGACAAATAACAGCAATGTTACTTTCCATAAATCTAATTAAAAATGTTTCATTATGTATGTAATAATTTACTTCGACCTAATGCGTCGTTTCTAGGAAGCATCGTAATTAGCATCTTCCGCGTCTCCACCCACTTTATTAATCAGTAACTGTCTCGCGGCCAATAAAAGTGCGGCATTTATAGACTGGTTGTATAAAACACATAAATCCAAGCCAAAAGAATGGCGTACCCTGTCCAACATCACAGAAACAGATTTCAAAGGAACGTCGTTTTTCATTGGGTCTATAAACTCAGGTGTTTATGGGGTTTGTCACTTTCACATTTTTTTACCGACCCTTTTATTTGAGGAAATATTTATAGCTGTATAACTAGGGCTAGAATTTTAGTCCGGGAATGACGGACAAAATTTGTTTCTTAGCAGGAACTTTTATGTGCATAAACAAATAACCAAGCACTTTAAACGATTCTACTGAAACAGGTGTGTCTCGATAAAATGTCGGCAATTCAAGCAATTGGAGACGTGAGCAACTTGAAAAGGCTACAACTTTTATTTTGCCAACACGTATCAAATATCTATTATTCTCAATCAAAACCATTCGTATCATGAATCGACAGATTTAGACACAAGTGCCGATTCTTCAGTTTTGCTTTGATAAAAAAATCAAAACAGAATGCGTCCTAAACTCCTTTGTCATTCTACGCTTGCCGAACTTTTGTCAAAGCTTTTGTGACGTGCCGCCCTACGACGGAAAAAGTGTGTGACACAACGTTTACTAAAGAACCGCTTTTTAACATCGTTTCCCAGTGGATTGTAGGTTTTTTTACTACATTTTGGGATTAGGAACGTCACGCATAAATAATATTCACGTGCATGTTTTGCTTGTAATATACAATCGGACCTAATAGACCTAGATAAAGATAATCTAGGTACATTTACCTATAATAGATAATTAGAATTAAGTTTACTTTGTGGTTGGGGGATTTTGATAATGATGTTCTCTCTCTACTTAATAATTTTATAAATTTTGGGTTGAAGTCTGACGATCAAACGCCTAATTCTCAAGCAAGCTGCTAGATGATCCGTTTTCCAAATCTTTTAGATATAAGGTCAATAATCAATAGGTACATTTTACAATTATATAATTATATACATGGAAGATAAATAAGGAAAACTTTACTAACTATACTTTTAGAAAATTTGTCCGTTTGTCTGTACGTTTGTTCGAGATAATCTCAAAAACGGCTTAACTTAATTGAATGCGGTTCACTATTGCATAGCTGTTTTCTGGGATTAATATTTAGTATTTGTTTTGTTTAAATCGGTTCATAAAAGTGTAGGGAAAGCCATGCTTCGGCACGTATGGGTCGGCTCGACCGAAGTGATACCACGGCCTTACAGTAAACCGGCGTGAAACAACCACAGCGTTAGGTTTCGCCGTGTATGTGAGTGAGGTTACCGGAGGCCCAATCCTTCCCCTCCCCGATTCCTCCCCAATCCCTAAATCTCCGAAACCCTAATCCCTAAAAGGTCAGCAACACACTGGTAACTCTTCCGTTACGGGTGTCCATGGGCGGCGCTGATTGCTTACCATCAGGAAATCCGTACTAAAAAAAATTAAAAGAAAACGTTATGTTTAAAGAATTGCATCATCAGATCAAATTCATACTAAAGTTCCAAATTTCACCAGATGTACGGAGCGAGAGGAACTGGGAAGCCAGCTCTTTTATCTTTTAGCAAACAATGATGCTCGCAAAGAAGGAAACGGAGCGCGTAAGCGACATATTCTCCTCATGCCCCAGCCGTGGAAACACTTCAGGCATCCGGGATCTTAACGGTGAGCAAGGTACATTTAAAATTACTTGCCTGAAACACGCTGCCTGAAAAACTAATCACCATTAATCAAGCGTGGTGAAAACAGAAAAAAGTGATCCGTCACTCTGATTTTGTCATTTGTCATGGATGCGTTTACAAACACATATTAAAACTAATCCGCGACACGTTGCGCAAAAGCTGGGTTGCCCAAACACTGCGCCGTGCAGTAATCACACGGTAGTCAATCTTTTTCCGTTTTGGAAGCAGAGTCCTGCAGTAAGATTTTTATCTACTGCTTATGTAGGTACTTATTTCTAGGAGAATTAAAAAATATTCGAATATGATGACCGGTATCTTTTACGTGAGCAAAAATTAGGGCTGCCTATACTTTGTATTAAATGCATTTTAATATTAGGGTTTCGTAGCCAAATGGCAAAAATGTTCACTCACGTACCTATTATAATATGGCTTAGCCATATTTTTAAACTGTAAGACCATAGGTACTGTTGAAGTGTCGATACTTTGGTAAGGAATTGTACCTTTTGCGTGAATAACATTATGGTATTCACACACAAAAAGAATAGCTACATTTCAGGGGTTGTCCGTAGGTACTTAGATAATTTGTAATGTTTTTTGGTTTATGAGTGTTCCGTACACTCTTTGAAAGTCGTAAAATGAATGTAAAGAACTAATAACAAAGTGGTAGAATCATTTTTCAAGTCATCTGGTTCATCGATAACTGGTTTGAAGTAAATGTTTTTTTTTATTTCATACATAATAAAGCCTAAAGTTATACTACTTGCTGTTACAAAACTTTTAATTGGCGAGTCCGACTCGCACTTAACATCTTTTTGTTGAAGTTCGGTAGAGGTAATAGATTATTAGGGCTTTTTACTATTCGGTGTTTTAGGGTTTTGAAATATTTGAAGATAAGACATAAAATAAAAATTAAGATCACTGAGATTTTAAATCTAAACTCACAGATTATCAAAACTCATTTAATTATAAAGGTGGAATTCAGCAAATGAAACTATAGTCAGACTTTTAATTCGATTCCTGATTTGACATTGACCACTGTCATTTTGTGAAATAATGATACCACATATAACAATGTAGTGTTGGATACAAAAATCGATAAACAATCAGTGAATCAGTTTCAGGAAGGCATTCAAAAAATTACGGCTACCGAATGGTCTAAATGTGTATCCCATGTTTTCAAAGAAGAGGAAAAAATGAGTAATCTAGATATGTTAATTGACAATAAATATCAAAGACATAATTTATAATAAATGTTACATAGAGTAACGGCGATAGCGATAGCGATGACGGCAACAATTTATAAAATGTCTGTTTTATTAGTCACGTTCCTTTATGATCACATTTTTTATTAATTTCACACACAATTACAAAAGAAAAGTCTCAGATCGTTAATTAATTGTCAAAACTAAATTATCGGTTCAGAAATATTTTATTTCCTGATAAACTTAGTTTACGAGAGTAAATTTATAAACGAGAGGAATCGATTCAGAAATATTCGATTTCCATATCGAATAATTTCGCAACGTCACTATTTATTACGTGTCATAACGTTGCAACACTGAAATTGTCAAATCTGGAATGGAATTAAAATTCCGAGTATAGTAAATCCTGTGCGGTATGGGCTCCTGGATACTAATAAATAATCAGGTTCCTAAATAAATATACTCTACCCCGACATAAACATTTTAAAACCCATATTTCGTTTAAAATATGCACCATCTCTAAAACATCTACCAACATAACGAAGTGAACAAACAATTCATAAACGTCAAAAGTCAAATCAACTGTCAAATTCAATTCAACACAAATGAATGAAGCTTTTACAGATTTTTGAAAATATTTTGTTAATAAATGTTTCAAAACTGGATTTTACCAAAAGATAAAATGCAGGGCACTATCAAGGAACTGCTGGACGCTTTAGGGTTAGTTATAAGTACGATTAATTTAAGTTATTTAGGTACAAGTAGTGGATGGACGCAAGTGTTCGTAATTGACGATAATGGCTTTTTATTGAATTTACAGATGTAGTTTGGAGGCGGACACTGTTTTAGATTACATCCAGAATGATCCCAACTACGGCAACAGTAATTTATCGTCCAAGCAAGTGAACGAATACGCACAGAGATTGGCGCTTAAAGCTTCAAACGCCAAGTCATTTTTGAAAAAATATGAAGAGCTAAGGAACAGAAAGTACGTATAGTTATTATATTACTAAAGAATGTTTGGTTACTGCTAAGTAAGTCTTTATGATAGAACTGGAAATTATTTCAGACAATGGATAATTTGTCCTAACAAGCTATGAATTGGCTCATAAGGTTTAAAATTAACACAATGAATAGTTATTACCAAGCCTGCTGCCTGCCAGGATTTAACCATTTCATTAAAACTACAAACTGTGTTGTAAACCAAAGAGTACTTATATTAATTATAAGTACAAAATACTAGAAATTGTTAACAATGCATTATTTATTTTAGTACGGACAACTTGGCTGATATTATAGCACTATTCTACAAACTAGTGTGTGAAGAAAAGAAATCAAAAATATCCAAACCAAAAGTGGCTCCGAAACCTGTACTAGGTGATAATAAACATCAGATTACAAAAGATGATCTTCCTCAGGTATTATTTTTTATCTTTTACGCAAGATAAGGTTATTGCATTTTGTTAAGTATGGCAAACAAAATATTTCAGTACTAAGCAAGCTTCCTATTTAACAAGGAAAGGATAAATATATTGATCCTGTTCTGGATTTCGACTTTGTAATAATAAAAATTACTTATAGTAGGTACTGTTATTTTGTTAAATTAATAATTTATATAGAAATAATACTCACATAGATTCCTCTTTAGTTCTGGTGTCTTCCTAGTTAAACATTTCTGGAAGTATTGATAAAACACCAATGTTGCTATGGCAATGTGTTTAAGTTCACTGTTTACTTGCAAAATTAGTATGCAAATCATAGACATTATGATTTATTTCAGTGTTTTGTAAACAAACTGTATATTTATTTTACTACTATTAATAGAAACATTTGCTTTTTATTGTCTTTATTTCTCAAAACATTTAGAAATAAAGAACTCAAATGTAACTCAATGTTTTTATTGGTTCCTACCATTTTATTTCTTATTGTGAGGTCTATAAATGGTAATTTGTTTGTTAAATATAATTTCAGATTAAAGACAAACTTTTAAAAGCTGTGGATGAAAGTAAGAAACTAGTCATGAAGTCTTTTGAAGATAAAGAAACCAAGCTTAGGCCAAACTGGTACAGCAGTCTGGACTTGCCCAGCTGGCAAAAAGATCACCCGGCCATGTCTTGGGACTTTCCAAAAGAACCTACTCCAATCATATCTTCCCTCTGTAAGTTTGAATCCTAATCTCAATAAAAATATATAATTTTTACTATATTTTGAACTTTATTAAACTCTATACATATGTTTCAGCTGGTGTGCCAATAGCATCTCAAGAAAACATAATCATTGATGATTTACTATACATCTTCTCTGGTGTTCCGGGGAACTACATAGTCCACCAACCAGTTAAAGATACCTATGATCCTCGAACATTCCTAATATCTGATGATGTGGATGATGCACTAAAACAAATTGTTCAACAAATGCTTCCATTAGCTTCCAATTACTCCATAGTGAGAAGGTTTATTGAGCACTGTGATATGTGGTCAGGCCAGGTTCTGCATGCATTAGTTGCAGCTATTGACATTCTTTTGAAGGATTATTATGTAAGTTTAAAATTAGTGTAAGAATTCATGTTATTCCCAAAGATACTGCCAATAAACAGCCACATTTTACCTTATTTCTGTAAAGCTCTAAGATAAAGTGATTCTATTATATTACTACGAATTGATCAAGCAGTAGTAACTCTCTTCGATAAATTAAAACATGTATTTATTTTCTATTTTCAGACTATGATAGCTCAGCTGGAGACTGAACATTTATCTGGAAACCTCACATTACAAAAGCTCTGGTACTTTGTCTTGCCTACAATGCATACCATGCAAGTCCTTGCCGCTATTGTTACAAATATTGGAAAGGTTAGTATTAAACAATCTAATATTTCCCCTGCTTTCAGTACCAGAGGGTCACAACACCATTTTACTGATTAGAGACTGCAATTACATATAAAATGAATCATACTTCACGTTTACCCATGTTGTTAACACTGCGAATGCGATGTTATCGCGCCAATAAAGGATCAAGAATAATTTACTACAAAAAAATAAAATAAAAGAGATTAACTGCATCTGTAGCAAACTGCAACAAGATTTGCTTGATTTGCATTCATAGGATAAGTTTTGCGTTTACAGAGTGAGTTGCGAGGTGGTGCAGTTCTCACTGTTCTACACGATAAAACTAATACATTGATGGGCGACGCAAGAGCCCAAGAAATTTCTTTGTTCCTAACCGAGCGAGCTTGCCGACCCTACCTTTGTATTTTAGACCAGTGGATACATAAAGGCACTATTGTTGATCCTTTCCAGGTAAGAGTTGATTGTTTTGTGCTGCTAATTAGAGGTATAAAGGAAATAATTAATTATCACTTCACTGCACTACACAGACCCTTAGTAGTTAAATAGTATTAATTAATACAATACAGATGGTATAAGTAAGAATATTGTTGTCAGTTAAAATCTATACATAAGGTCATCCACCACCATGAATAGAGTTTTGAAGGTCTAAATATAACTATAGTTTCTAGAGATTAATAGAATTCTGAAGTTTTTTAAACAAATGGAAATCAAGCTAATTTTACTATCTGTATGCACCTCAGGAGTTTATGATAGAAGATAATGAGCTTATCAACAAAGAAGAGCTTCCAGTAGACTACTCAGCGGATTACTGGGAGAAACGTTACAGTATTCAGAGAGACAGAGTGCCAAAGTTCCTAGATAAGTTCACTGACATCATTCTAAGAACTGGGAAATATTTGAATGTCATTAGCCAGTGTGGTAAGTTTTGGTATATTAATAAAAACTTTAATTTTTGTTGTTTCGGAAAACTGAAATATCTGGATCTTTTAAAATATCTCATTTTTTTATTATATGTTATGGTTAGTAGGTTATAATAAATAACATTGAATGTACTGCAGAAATGAACTGTTAGCTAATTTAGATATTTATGTAGGTAAACCAATCACAAAAACCAACACTGAAGAAATAAAGTATTCTCTAAGAGAACAGAACTATGGTGCCATAATACAGAAAGCGTATGCATACGCCAGCAAGTCGTTATTGGAGCTCCTTTTGAAGGAGTATGATCTCATGGGAAGATTGAAGTCGGTGAAGAATTACTTTTTGATGAGTCAAGGAGACTTTATTGTACAGTTCATGGATGCTACTGAACAAGAATTGTCTAAGAAAATCGATGATATCATACCTTCGAAACTGGAATCCCTTTTGGGATTGTGTTTAAGGTAATTATTTGTAGATTGTTTACACACAATACATTTTTTATGGCAAACGAGTTATCTGATGGTAAGCAATCATCGCAATAGGCATTGGGCCTCCGGTAACCTCACTCACACAAAGAATCACAACGCTGTGGTTGTTTCACGCCGATTTTCTGTGAGGCCGTGGTATGACTCCGGTCGAACCGACTCATTCGTGCCGATGCTTCAGCCTCTCCCACACTTCATATTACACAGGTGAACTCTTCCTGCCTTTGTTCAGTAAGTTCAAATACAGCAAGGGCCATATTAGATTGCACTCTTTTGTTTCTTCCTGCCTCCTTGGAACGAAGGCCTGATTTTACAGTCCTAATTACTTAGGTACTAATATCTGATATGTGACACAATGCGATTAACGCGCCATCTGTTTTTTTTGCACGCGATTGTGTCATTGTATGTGTGCACTTAGTCGGCCCTGCATTATATGATATGTACCTATCGATGCCTAAATATTAGATTTATTTTGTCGTAATATAATATTCATGTTTTTTCATTAGACTGTCAGCAGCAAGTCACGACCCGTACAATGAGGATATGAAGATAGAGTTGCTTCCCTACGACTTGCAATTCCAAATGTTTAAGATACTGTCTATTGAGACTGAGGATGAGAAAGGTGAGTCATTTATATGTATATACATATATCTCTTATTTATTTATATAAAAAATTTGTAACTCTATAGATGTTGTATAATGACCAGTGATCAAAGTAGGTAGATTGATTTTTGGTACTAGTATAATCAGAAAGATTAACATTTCCAATGCATTTCAAACAATTCCGGTATTTCCAGATTCAATTAAATATTGTTAATTTTGGTAGTGCTATTATTCCTACTCAATTCAAAATTTAAAGGAAGGTATCAAAATTAAGTTATTTCATTATTTATCTGTTGAATAATAAAAACAATCGAATTCCGATCAAAGCTTTAATTTTTTTGTTTTTTGTATTTTATAGCTAGTACTTTTATAGACAGACACAAATTGTTGCATTTAAATTTAAATATTTTCATAGTGGTCATGGTAATTTGCATTAAGGGTAGAATAAATGATGGGGCCCCATAGAGGGCCAATGCCTGCTGGGGTCGTGAGACTGTTCTAAGGATGCACCATGACTCTGAAACGTAAAGGGCATACGAAAGAACAGGTTGATTTTAGTCAGATTTTAGGACCAAAAAAGGGGTAGAATAAAGAATTTTAAAATTGTATTACAATTCCTACCTTTTTTTGAGGATGGCAAATCATCAAATGACTCCTTCCACTCTGGCAGAATAGAATTCCTACAAAGTTTCGGTTTTTTTAATAATCCACCCCAATTCTAGAGGAATCCCATATTAATATTAACGTTTCGGATCAATGACCCCATTTCAAACTACCTACTCCGATCACTGATTATGACAAATAATTTAATTAATTCCTTTTTTTAAAAAAATTAGAAATGCTAAATACTTCATTGATTTTTGAATAAAATTACTAAATTGCGATGTCTCATTTTTTTGTGTCAAATATATTACTTATATTTTTTCTTAAAATACCTAAAAAATACTAAAACCAACTTTTTTCAAAAAAAAATTTTAGCGAGCCATCATTTCTCTTATGTTTGTGATGTTACATTATGATTAAATTTGGTTAAAAAACTTGTATGTTTGTCACATAGAACTTTAGTACGACCACGACACAGGAAAAATATTACTGTAGAGCCACGTTTTATTTAAGTAAAAAATATGTCTATAATGAGAATTCTAATTCCAGATTACAAACAGAACAAAGACTGCCTACCACTGACTGGTATAGAGACATTCTCCTTTGGCATGGAAGTGAAGTGGCCAGTCTCTTTGGTACTTAACCATAAAGCTATAGCCTGCTACCAAATGATATTCAGACACCTGTTCTACTGCAAACACGTGGAGAGATTGCTGTGCAGGTCAGTTGTGGATAAATTATATCACATCCGACAATTTTAAAAATAATATGTATATTGTACACCAAATCGTTTTTGTTGATCCATTACACAATAATGTAACTACAGACATAACATTCCTAAATTGATAAAAATCATGATAAAATGATTGTTGGGTTGTCGATTTAGCCTTTCGTGTCTGTGTCATTGTCAAACCCTAACAGTTTGACAATATTGTATAATAAACAAGACTAACCTGACGGTAAGCACATGGTGCCGCTAATGAACACTCGAAATAACCTTCTCCTTCCGGAGTCTTCTGTTGTGGATTGTCAGGGATAAAAAGTGTTTTTCGCACTATATTATAGTGTTATGTCTGTACAAAATTTTATTAAAATCTATCAAGGATTGTTTACTTGAATTAGTAACAAGCATTAAGTCTGGGCGTTGTGTTTCGTCGTGTGAATGAAGTTACCGGAGGCCCTAACTTCCCCCCCACCCCTAGTCCTTCCCTTTCCTCACCAATCTGTATTGTGTAATATGAATGTGTGTGTGTGTATGTACAGGGTGTGGCTGTACAATAAGGTAGTGAAGCGTTTCTCTGCGGCCCGGCTGTACGCGGACGCGTTCGCGTTGCGCCAGCGCATGCTGAGCTGCATCCAGCATCTGCAGTACTACATGTGTGTCGAGGTCATCGAGCCCTCCTGGTGCCAGCTCATACAGAGCCTCGATAAGGTAAGATGCACCTTAGTTTCTTTTATTTTATACCTGGAGGACCAAGCTCGGTATATTTTTCTGGAAATGAAACCTGGCTTGATTGATTTTTTCGGCCCGAAAACTTACATATCGAAAACAAAGTTTGAGCCGTTTATGAGAATAGCTCGTTAAACCTCTTATCTTCCGGTATATAAAACACAATGGAAAATACATTGTGTTTCGCTTATATATATCTACGTTGCGGCATATCATGATTTAAAGGTATTTGATTACTTATATAGCGCTACACTTCTTCAGTACAGAATCCTTTTCAAGGATATTTTTCAGTTAATTTAAATAAATTATTTTTAGTTCAATGATGTCGCTACAAAAAAAAATTATGGTATTAATATTAACAACCGTAACCTTTAAATTGCACCACCTTTTAGTCATAGCAATATATCCTTGTTCTCCAGGTTCACAATGTCGATGAAGTGCTGGAACGTCACAATGACTTTTTGGAGTCATGTCTTGGAGACTGTATGCTGACCAGTCCGCAACTTTTGAAAGCAGTCACGACTTTGTGCCTCGTCTGTGTACAATTTTGTACATTCATACAGGTACGCAAACACATTTTATTCAAAAAATCCTCATAACACCTATAACATTCTTTAGAATTTACAGGTAGATTATTTTAATCCTATAGTACCTAAGCAAGCATATTAGCGAGATATTTTTTTTTTCGATTTCTCACTCATATGTGACGAATCGAAAAAATATCATACACTACTGCTGTTGTCTCTTTTGTTTTTAAATGTTTGTAAAGTACACATTTTTATAGTATTGTGGATACAGCATTAGAAAGCCAGTCACGAGTTCAAGGTATAGTATATGATATGCATCGCTCCTCTAGATATTTTACTCTTTTAAGCTATCACAATACTGCCAATGTAGTGTATTTATGATTTTATTAATATAGGTATACTGTTAATGTATATAATGGACTCTAGACTTACACTTCAAAATTTGGTGAAGGTTTTTATTTTATAAATGATTACATAATATTTAACTATATATTTTCTTCTGCTGCAATTATATTACTAGTATATATTTTGTATATTTTGATTCGTGTTTCGCAAGGCTTTCCAGTGGTTAGTATACCTATATGATTTCTAACATTAATTTATTATTGTATTTTCTTTTAACGCTACCAAATCACGTTAATTGGCAAAAGGAGATGCACAAGTACTTCGTGGACGCAGAGCTTAACAGTATGCTTGGATCGACGTATGACAATTCAGAATATAGTGAGGTATATACCGAGTAGATCAACAGTAATACTAGTGCACTGATGCAACGTAAATAATATCACAAGTATCATAGAATTTCACCATTGTGAACTCTTTGGCGACTGACGACTTAACTAACGTCAAATTTTCAGCCAATCACAAGCTGCGCTCACTTAAATCCCTTTGTATGATTGGGTTAAACATTTTCATTTATCTTGCTTCTAAACGGTAAATATCTATTTAATGTACTCGAAACTAACGAATGTGTCAGACATATCTTGCTTCCATGTAGTATTTGTGATATATCAAAAACATTATTAATCTATTATTCTTATCATTCTTTCATGACTTTTCTGTTTTAGACTTTTACAGTGAGTATGTATTTGTAATTACATAATTATATTGGAATATTTATTATAATTAGGATTATTGAGTTTGTATGTATTTATAAGCGATTGATGTTGTAGCATTATTGTTTTTACTTCCATTCTTGCTTAACTTTACTTATTAACATTATCGGCTAGTTTCACAGTCTTTAAATAGGTTCTGTATACATGAAAATAAACACTGTCAAAAATAGTGTAAATATGTACACACATACCGCACAACATAACCTGCCCTTAGTTTAACATGTACCTAAAACTAAAGAGGCTCTTATTGTTGATAAATATACTAATATAGTTAAGGATATTTGATAGTTATACTGGTCATAATGCTATAGGACGCGGGTTGTGGCGGGACGGCAACGAGTGGCTCGGCGGACTCATTCTCTCGCTCGGTGTCACGCTACGGGCTGCGTTTCACTGCTGCGCTACTGTCTGTACTTGCAATCATTGAAAGGATGGCCAGAGACAACAATACCAACAAACTGCTGAACATTTCTGCCAGGTACGTATATTTTATAAAGTCAAGTCAAAATACTCCCCATTTTGAATGAATACTTACACTTTTTATTTATCAATTATAGGCTTAACTTCAACACGTACTACGTGAAACAGTTGGAGAAGTTTTGCTCGGATGACAAGCTGCTGGAGGCTGAGAAAAAGCAATCTGCCTCCTAGCACAGGACTGCGCGCCCGCGCACCAACCTCGTCACCTCCGTGTGAACGCACTCTTATAACTACACTACTACTAAAATAATAATTCATTCAGCAATTATGCCGTCGCTACCATATTCTAATTTGAATCTCTCCTGCCACTTAAAAAGTACAATTCACAAGTATTATAAAGATCTAATTATTTAGGCACTCACATAAAACTATTTCAGTAACGAATACTAGGTAACAATATTGATGACGATGTTTCTAGAAAATAGATTTTAGTCATTATAGTCACAAAGACAACACTAATATTTTCATGTGTAGGAATTAGATCTTTTCCCTTTAAAAATAAGTACAAATCTTCCATTTGCATTTTGGGAATGAACAGTATTTAGATAGACTTAAATTCGATGTTGTCCAGTGTTTAGATAATAGTAAAATACTCGCAAAGCAGTAGTTAACTTGAAAGTGGTTGAGTATAATTTTCATAAAGAAGAATTATGTAACATACACAGGAGTACATTATTTTTCTAATTCGACAGATTTATCAACAACGTTTATATCATTCCGATTAGATTGGGTGTTACTAACATATTTTTGATATTATAGGTTCCCTAAAATAATTAGGCAATTGATTTTTAATGGCACTAATATAAAGAAGAAAGTCACAAAGATATCTCATTCCTTGCCATAAGTTTTAAATTATAGATGTCATGACAAAATAGTGAATAAATTAATTTATAGAAGAGCTCCGTGTAAACAAAACGAAGCGTCTTTAGGGGTTAGCCATAAATTTCCGTGAAGCATGTAAAGGGTGAGAAACCTCACCTAAATTGGATTAGGATCTGAGTCAAATTCAGTTTTGGATCAGTTTTTACTCGCCAAGCAGATGTTTTTTCTGTGCATAAGACAGCCTAAAGGAAACAATTTTTTCCTGTGAATAAGACTTAGAAATATTTGTTAATTTTTATTAATCTCTCATTTCAGTCAGTATGTGCTTCACGTAATTTCTAAACTCCCCTTATTTTAAATCTCATTTTACTTCCATGACTATGTAACTCGTAATTCTTTTTATAGTATATTCAATTTTACATTGGTTATTGTTATTGGCTGTGTATTTTAAACTCCCTAATTGTTACATTTTTGTAAATAATTTAAAGTTTCGCTGTTGAGTAGGATAAATAGTTGCCATAATTGCACTGTTCCTGAATGACCCGTTGGGCAACTTTTTATTTCAGTTGATACTTTTTAAATGTTAATTAAAACCATCAAAAATTAATTATATTTGCAATGATAACAAACACTTGTTTAAAACAATAACTTTGAGTATTTTAATAGGATGCGCTACATTCTATTGTGAAATCTCAGTATGTAATATGTAAATACCATCGTTATTATATTATACAATAAATACCGATAACTCAGTTGATTTTGTTTTCTTTTGCACCAATAAGCACTAGATAGCTCAGTTTAGAACAAAATGAGGAAATCTATTTTACTGTGCTATGGTACACACAGCACAGTAAACACATGGTATCGATTATTAACATTTCACTGTCTGTACACTTCAGTGCTGCATAGCAAGAGTGAAGTCTCATCTGCAAAGTGGTTGTGTGTTGCTTATATTCCTTGGCACAATATTTAGGAGAATTAGGAGCAGGAATACATATAATAAAAATGCGTTTTGACCATGACAAATTATCTATTTTAATATTTAACAGACTTTTAAATACAATCTTATTTATGTAACATTCAATTGGTTTCGTTTGATACATATAGCAAATCACTTTTGGACTTTAACAATAAATACATCATGTAACATTGGAATACTCACTATGCTAGATCGTGATAAAACAAATAAATTACTTTAGCATGGACATGACACAAAATGACTTGAAAACTCGAATGATTTTTTTATAACACAGCATGCCAAATTATAAACTATCAAACAAGGAACTATATTTAAAATACACTGTAAAAGCAATTTATTATTACTATTTAATATTGCCCTATATCAACTTACAATGTAATCAATGATAAAAGCCTTGTATTGGTCACAGACATCTACTTTAAAAGTAACAAACCAACCCTGTAAATAGGGATAGACAGAATAATACATCTAATACATAGTACCTGACTACACACCATTCAATCATTACGAGCAAAACAATTTCATTAAAAGGTACAATAAAACTACTAAGGACAGCCAACTTTAACGGAAATGTCTAGGTATATAGTAGACATTACAAGTAATATCACTGCATTAATAACTACAATGTGAGTACATTTTATGGTTACACCTACATTATGTGCATACAATTCATACAATAGTGAAATGGTAACTAAAGTGAATGTTTAACATTTGTGCAACATTTAATCAAGTGCGACTATCAACAGACGCATTCTTAGAAGTCATCTCCTCATATAAAATGAATTGGCACAGACTTGTGTAACCAAAATAAACAAAAAGTACTAATTCATCTGTATCAAGTACCATCTACATCAACATCGAAATGGGTTTGGAGCCTTTAAATTACTGTTTACCATACTGTATTTTTATCAAGCAAGTTAATTGTCCAGTTAGCTAAGACATCAACCACAGAACCATGTGATAGCCTAAACTCAAGCTTATATAAGCGTGATGCCTGCTAATAAAAACTAAAATCGAATGACAAAATAAGTGTTTTAAAAACTCATGCTCAGTGTGTATGGATAAAGGTTATTATTATGGCTATAAATTCGAAATACTTTCGAGAGCATAAATATACACAACAAAGTTCAAAATGAGCAGTCTGATAAAAGACACACACATTTGAGCTTGAATTATTAAAACAATTCATGCATGATGACACAAATAGAACTTCCTACATGATGACAAAAAATATCAATTGACAACAATAAGTACTTTCTACAACAAAACTGCAAAATGACTGAATACTTAATTATAGTTTTATTGCGGTGCCATTTTAAAAATGTCCCAACTATTAACTAACATGCATTTGCTTCTACATTTCTGCTTTTACTCAGAATTTTTGGTTTGCGACATAATGTCATGAATAAATACATACTTCTAATACATAGCAAAGAGAGCGGCAGAGTTGAATGATAAAAGCAAATGTATGTAAAACGTAAGTAAAAAAGCCTAATGCACATAATTTACCTACTTTAAAAGGAGTATGTACAGAGCTCACGGCCCAAATTCACTAATTCACAGACTAGAGTCTTCGTCATCCGTTGACCATCACCACATATGCGTTTCACGAATCTCACTGATGATCTGACCAGCACGCTGCAGAGCCTGTGGAGGACCAATATTATACTTATTACAATCACTTCACATATCGGTCTAAACTATGTGATGTACAATATTTCTTATATTGCCTCCAACATTCGTATTCGACTTCATTTAAATTACTAAATATTTTAGTTTGGCTTACTCATTTACATATACTAGTACATTAATTTTGAAAAAGAATATTAAACAGTACACTTACCTTCAGCATGTCAGCGGCCTCCTTCCGCCGCTGCGCAATATGTTCCGATTCGTTGAGCATGCTCTCTGCCTGGTCAGACTTGTACAAATGGGTAACTAGCTCAGACTGCAAGTTATCCTTTACATAATTCACTAGGAAATGCATCACAGCTTTGGGAACAGAGTCCTGGATAGATTTGCGTACTATGTAAAAGTAAGATTTGATCAGCCGTTCTGAAAAAAAAAACAAACAATATAATTAAGTGTTTAATTATGAGTACCACATAATGGTTCACAAAAGGAAAATTCCCTTTTAACTAAACCAATTGATGATTTGTTGTTAGTAATGTGCATAATAGATCATTTATAAAATGCAAGGCTAATGATTTGTGATAGATGGTTTAATGTTAAATGAAGATATGTAAGTTTGTAATATTAACCTACATAACAAAGCTCATCTAGTAATAAATTGTCCCCACATCAAATGTATGTTCTAGTTACTAAAGTAATCACAAGCCACTAATTAATGAAATTATTTGTTTATTGATTAGGGATTAGTAAAAAAGTCTAGTTATAACAATTTAAAGTAAACAAGCAGCAAGCAAAGTCGATGGTAGGTGGTCGGAAGTTTAACAGTGAGCAAAATGAGTAAAGCATTCTGTACACCGCGCCGCTATCCTCACCCACTAAATCACCCATTTGATTCAATTGCATCACGTTGATGCCGTCTACTGTCTCAGAGTTAGGAATTAGGATTGATGGCTCATCGCTCCGCCCACCTAACATCACAAGAAAATACTGTTGAATGGTACAATGTAATGATATACATATATAATATTAATTCTGACAAATGATGTTAATGCCCGCCTCATTTATATTAGTCTATGAAAATAGTTATCAATTTACTAAATGTTAATTGCTTAGCTTCAAACCAAACTCAATTAGTGGTAAAATTTTCTAAATCAAGCCTCTTCTTCATTCCAATTAGCTTATCAAATAAACAAAACAAAAATAAGATTCCACTTACCAATGACATCACAATCATGTTGTTCTCTGTCGGAGAGCTTGCGCGAGGTCTGGCTCGGCACTTCTGGTAGAAGATTCACGGGCTTTTGAGGAGTCAGTACTTTATTCTCTGGTGTTCCATTCATCTGAAATTTATATCATTGTAGTGTTGTATACCTATGACCAGAAACTAAAATGAAAGGTACATTTTAAATAGACAAATGATAATAATGACGGTACGAATTTTTTTTTTTATTCATTGGTTCAACCCCGCCACCACTTTCCAAAGCCGCTTACCATTTGAAATCTCCTGGGGGTAACCATGACATTCAAAGTAAGACTATTTTATTCTTACTTCAGTGTGGGTAAGAGAAAGAGCTATACAAGTTCTCTAGCTCTGTCTCTTGCCTTAAGATTAGAACAATCTTAATTTGAACGTCATGGCTAGCCCCTTGATTGTTTAAGACCTATCAATTTCATTTATTGTAAGGAGTAGACTTATCAAAGTTACATGACCATTGTATTCATTTTATTCACATACGCCGCATACTCCTGCTAAATGACATTAATGCTGCATTAAGTATGTCCACACTATTCTGCAATAATTATAAAACCGCTTTTACCTGTGGAGTTGCAGGAGATTCACTGTTATTACTCTGAGTTGGAGACTTGTTTTCCTGACCATCCGTGATCGCTGGCACATGCTAAAAAGATAATTCCCATATATTTAAGGTACCTTCCTCATATTTGATCATATTTTTATTAGAATCCCAAATAATATATCATATCTAGGTAAAATTACTTTCATGCATGCAGTAGCAAAAAGAAAATAAAAATCTATTAAAATTACAGTGAACATGTGTATTATGTCAGCGTCATATAAATATGTTAATTTCTCTATTATTTATTAGTGACAATGAACGTGCCGCGTGATTCTTATTTCGATAAGTTCGTCATTAGTGAATAAATAATGCTTGCTAATGAATAAATGTTAGTCAGCAACAGCTAAGCCAAGTTTACATGACAAAAGAATCATCAAGAAAAAAAATGTAATAAAGTAAAAGTAATAATAATGTGCTTAAAATATTTGTCATCTAAACTTAAAAATTCGAGAATGTACACAGTCTTAATCATGCGATATACCTTTTACGACACGATTGATAGAAATATAGAACAAGACAAGAATATTTCGCATGATAGAACTCTGTCTACACTCGATTTGAAAGAGAGCCCACATAGTATTCCAAGCGTCACCGACTTGATGCCGTCACGTGGTTTAGTAGGACAATGTGGCTAATATGAATCTGTAGTTATGTCACTAGCCCTCACTATATGGTGTGAGTTTTATTTTACCTTATTGTGGGATTCCCATACACTTGCCAAGAATACTAGGGTGGACCCTCTTTCACCCATTTGTCGAAGAAATAGCTACAAAATAATTGGCAATAGTTATTTTAATCACAAGAGAAAATTAGATATGTTAACACATAATCAGTAAATTAATTTAAGGCTGCCATTATACCAGCGGTTGCTGTAATGTCCATCTGATGGTAGCCTTATATTAGGATAATATTACAGGCAGATAAAATTCATTAAATAAAATACGTTTAGAAATGCCTGCAATATTTAAGCTAAAAAGAAGGAAGTCAGTTGTTAATCAAATTACATGCCAAAATTTTACAATGTACCTGCTCACAACAAATGAACAAAAAAGTGCCAGTTTGTGCTGTCTTCACTAGCTAGTCTAGCTACAAGTGTTAACGATCTACTCCATACAGTGGCTCATCGCCATAAATTGATAGATCTTAAAATAATGATGATATTGATATAACCGACAAAAAACAATCCTGAACATCATGAACTATATTTACACATTTAACACAAAAACAAGAAAAAAAGGTGCAATCGATTCACAAAATGTTTACTATTGATTGTGGAGTCATTTTAACAACCACATTAACACTCACCACAGACTAATGCACTATTTACTCACGATGGGCAACAGTAAGGAGTTTGACAGCTTCACTACTTACCTCAAGTTAGTGGCATTAGTTTCCACAGGCACGTGACATAATAACTTAAGCTTATATATACTTTGAACATGGCGAATACCGGTGAGGACGTGGGCCGTGGGGTCTTCTGCCGGTACACGGGACTGTGCTCGTCAATCAGGCTGTCTGTACTCTTCAGCAAGCCGGACACCAAGGCAGCTTCGCGGTGAAAATCAGGGTGCTTAGTGTTGATATACGCCAGTTCAATTTGTACCAAATTCTCCACCTGAAATTGTAAAGAGTAATTTAAAAAAGGTGTCTTACAGGACATAGAAGATTTCTTGGTCGTCGTCGTTGGAGCAATTACAAAAACACAACTACACACAATTTTATATACATATACCACCCAGATACAGAATAACAATTTATGAATCAAAGATTAGTTCCTTCTGGGATTTGACTAATCATCATCATCTCTAGTGCAAAAGTGCAAAGAAATTCCAAAATATGCAGATTTATTGTTTCAATTAACAGCTGAGCCTGCCCACTTTGCTTTATTTCGAGAGATGATAACCTTCATGACAGTTCAGCTGGGGTGGCATGGCGGGAGCAAACGTATTAATGTATTGCAGCCCCGGCCTGGAGCAGTGGATGGAACAGGTTTGGTGTTTAGCAAGTAAGAGTCTGACACTCCTAACCCCACTTACGGGGTCAGAAGGAATTTGATGATTCACCCCATCAAAAAGAACAAAAAACAATTTTATAATGGTAACGTAAATTACTACAGTAATATTCATAGTAGTCTAAGTATTCGCTGTAATTAATACCGTTTGCTAATTAATAAGTATTCATACAAAATAATTGTGTGCAATGTTTTGTGTATTGGTGGCGTCAAAACGTAGTCCCAAATATTGATGATAGATAGATAGTTCGTGGTTTTTTATTACAAACCACATTGATAGTAACCTGACAATATATGAGTCAAGGTTACTTGCGGCATGAGTCTATAATAGCGATACCTACTATGATACGTCTATATCATAAAACGATTTTCTCGACACTATCTTTGCTTGCTTATCTCGGAAACAAACGTTACTTACTAACATTTTGATATCAATCTTACTGAGAAATACCTTTTTCTCTTTGAGCTGAGTAGGTTGCTACAAATACTGTAGTTTTCAACTATTCAAATTCAATACTTTATCTAAATTTCAAAAACGATACTTTTCTATTCTATGAACCTCCAAATTACGGCGTCTTTGTCTTTTGCGTCGAATAGCGTACCTACTTATTTTTTAAAAATTTGCTATAAAATATCAAAAATTTCGTGTATCGACAGATCGATGAATGAAATGTTCTTTTTCAAAATACCTAGTATTGTAATTGAATCGTCGAATTAATTTATTTTTGACCTCGGAAACTTCTCAATACTGGTGTAAAGATGGTAAATTAAGTTGTAACATTAAATAAACTATAATGAATGAATGTAAGTGTTCTCATCTCACGTACCATAGCGTTAGTAGCCGGCAGTCGTGTGCGCAGTAGTTGCGTGACTACGTCGACGATGCGCTGGTGCAGGCGCGGGAACCGAAGCATCTCTTGCTGCACCTCAGTACCGCAGTGCTGCACTATACGCTGCATCTCTTCGTGGACCTATAGTGCATAACAGAACTATCATAGCTTCTACGTAATACTAGAATTACTAGCCAGCGAGTTTACACGCGTCTCAGCCGAAATTTATCTAAAAAAACGTAAATGCGGAAAATCAATCAATAGTTGATAATCCAAAAGATACTTAACTCGTATATAATATGTAGACTAACAAAGCAAATCATTAATATCATAAGGTTGATACAACTCGAAAATCATTTAGAGAGTCTGTAATAAGCTAATGCCTGCAGCCATTAATTTAACGAGGCAGTTATTATACAGATAAAATTAACATATGCTTGTTCTAATTATAAAATGTTTGTGTAAATAACTGTTAAAAAAACAAAAGTTTTACTTCAAGCTTCCACTTTCTAGTTGTACATTCATAATATAATTACTTATTTAAAAGTAGTTTATATGTCACCGATTTCCGATCACAGACACAAAAAAGTTATTTGTGGTTTTCGGCAGCAAAAAAATACCAAGTAGGAGTTAAGTTTTACCAGTTCCACGCAACGGAGTGATGGGTCTTCAAGCCTCCTTATCTGCCGCTTCACAAGCAGTTCAAACGAGACTTCGGGGACAAAAAGAGCTGGTCGTGGACCCGTAGCATTGCGGATCGCGGTCAGAATGTCCATACGCGTCAAACCTGGTATTAATAAAATTAATAAGCGTAGGTAATATCAAAGAAAAGAAAGGTATTAGTACAAAAACAGTGACTTTTGTGACAATGACAAAGTTTATATTATGATCATGTCATGGTTGCAACCCATACCGCAAGTCACGCCGCTAGTATAACGAGTAGGAATGTTGATGCGTCACTTCAAATCAGATTAAAGACCTGATTGTCATTCACAATTGTCAAGTATTTTAAAATAACATAATTAATCATAACAACAGGACATTTACGTTTGTTATTAAGATAACGTGTGAATAAATTTCTTCATTAACTATTATGACATTTTCATGATTACTGCGAACTCTTTAAGTGCTTATTGTATTTACACACGGAAACTTAAAACCACTTACCAACAAGGGGATGTATAGAATCTAAGGTGCGGCCAAACGTCTCATGGAATATGTAACATATTCTGGCGCCTCCGCAAAGTTCGGTTGTCTCTATATTCCTGGCAGTACCTTCAATGGTGGAGCAATATGCGCTAGCGAACTTTGTAATAATTTGAAGTAGAGTTTGTGACTTATCCGAAACATCTTCTCCATAAGAGTTGAGAAGAGATTGGAACTGTGAGATCATTACGTTGACGCGAACCTGCATTGAATAATTGCTTAATATTAAAATTTAAACTTGTAAATAACAGTAACAAATACTGATTTGGACTATGTTTTAACAAAACAAGATTAGTTTCCACTTGTTTATAAAAAAAAAAACTTTTTAAAAAAATATTTACGACTATTCCATTTTAAATGTTTAAAAATTACCTTTAATTCCGGCAGACAATCCCTAATATGGTGCATCAGTAGTCTGTTCAAGGTCTTTGCCAAGTGTGGCGTGCCATTGCGTGTGGCGATCGTTGGATATTTCCTTTGGAGGTATGTTGCTTCGTCTTTGAGAGCATCCTTATTGTAAAACAATTAATTCTAGTTAGTACATATTCTTATTGGATCAATAAATATTTATTTTGTTGAAATTACCAATTATGGTAGATAGTATAGCACATTTTAGCACATTTTATTATGACAGGTACATAGGAATTATATGAAGTTTACGATTCAAATCAATATAAAAGTATGCTATAAAATCCTATTCAACCAGTCTAATTTATATAAATGACAGGTGCATTGAGTATTATTAGAATTTCGAACCCAAATCAACATCTAATAAAGACCTAAGTTCGGATAGCACACATGAATTAATTGCCAAATATTATTTATATTACTATAAAACATAAATTATAGATTATTTACCCCTATTGATTTATTATCAATAATGTCTTGCTGTGATCTGTTTACAACTCCGATAATGCCAAGTTTTACGGGAATGACGCGGCCGCAAAGGATGTCTATGGCATCAGTTCCTGAAATAAAATGCTATTTTCAGTAACAAGCATTACATCTAGGAAAACAGAAACTAGGAACATTAACTATTTTTATCGTAAGTTGTTTAATGAAATAACACATTCGGAACATTATTTTTATCATACTTATCATGTAATCATATTCTACAGATAAGTAAAAAATTGATATTAATTTAACTCAAATATTTTAGATAGCTTGTAGGGCATGACATGACTGTTAGAAAACAGATGGAAACTGCAAAATCAAATGTATCTAGGAGAAGCTCTTAAATTAAACAGTTTTTAGTTGCAAAAGTATTAGGTTTTCTTACAGCTCCACCAAGCTGTCTTTAGTCGTTAGCAAAGTATAAAAAAACAAATAAAAAATTAAACAATATAAACTTAATAGTTTAGCTAACCTGCATCCATGAGATCCAGCTTAGTAACCACAGCTAGAGTCCTCCTACCATCTGGGTCAACCTCTTTGGACATTTTAATAGCTTCACTTGTTGCCATATCAGTGTTAGCGGCAGTCACAGCCAATATTATAGAGTTAGGGTTTGAAATGTACTTTATAATAAGATTCCTTATTTGGTTTTCAATGTCTTCCGGCTGATCACCAATTGGTACCTAGTAAGAAACACATTTATTGATATATGCTGTTTAATTATGTATTTATAAATATATAAAATGTCTTAAATGTTATGTACATACCTTTGTAATACCAGGGAGATCAACTAAAGTGAGGTTTACAACCCTGGTAGAGAAAATCTTGAGACTTATAGGCTCTGGGCAGATACCCTTGTTGCTGCCAGCCATGCGGTCTGTTTCTCGTTCTATTTCCTGTCTCATTTGATCGAAATCTGTGTATATCTTGTCTTTGGTGTGCAGAAATTTGCCCCATTCTTCTAGGTTTACAGTTCCTGTAACAATTGAAAAGTAGCTACATTTAGTTGGAAGGTGAATCATACTGGATTTTGAAATAGTCATTTCTATTGCAGTAAATAAGAATCAGAACACAAATGTAAACAATCAAGTGCTTGTCTTGTGTACAATCCAATACATATATAAAAAGGTTATTTAATACAGTATAAAACCCACACACATGCCTGTAGTAATGTAGTTATTGTTTATTACCTCTTTTATTGTCATTTAGTGTGTTTTATGCTTAATACAATTTTAATAAAAAAAAATTAATAAAAATATTTTAGATTACAGAGAATTTAATACAAATAATAATGACAGGTCAGGAAATATTAATGTGTAAACTGACGTACATTACTTATTTATTACACACAATAGTTACTACAAACCTGGATTCAATTTTTGGGAAAGTTGAGCTATTGGATTCCATGTTGTTTTCTCTGTGTTCTGGATTCTTAATTCTATCAATACATTTAAATAAAATATAATTTAAACTAAGTTAACTGCTAGATGTTTCCAAATACATAATTAAAATCTTTTTTAGATGTTAAACTTGAATTTAAAGGCATCTGGTATCTATGTAAATTGTGTGTCATAATTTATTAAATTATTTAAAAATTGGTGAAAAATAAATATTTTTATTTCAAATATCTGACAACAATCACTGTATGTAGTATACACATTTATAGACTACAAGATTAATTTATTGGTACTTATTAAGTTCATTGCCATTTCAATGCAGTAGAACAAAAGTGACATTGAATGGTGCAATATTATCAATTTCATATAGGTAGTCTATAGATCTAGACCTTATAAACATAACAAAAGCAGTAAGATCAATGCTCAATTACATGGCATTGAAAAATGAAGCTAATGGAACAAAGACTTGCTATCATTAATAGACTGAGGTACCTCTGAATGGACTTAAACAATAGGAAAACCTGAACTTATATTGAATTGAATGATAAATAAAAATATAATATAATATAAAAATATATTAATAAAATTGTATAAGTATCTAATTAGAGGCTATTTAAAATAAACAAATACTAATAAAATAATATTCTAATAAGGATCATGTTTTAAAAATGAAAACATGATACAATTTGAAAAAGTGGCTTACCTTCTTCAGCTGAGCGATGTTCCTTGCTATCCTTAGGGCTGTAGACTAGTTGCAGAACCAGTGGTCGCCTAGTCACAATTCCAGGGCCTCGGGGAAGAAATGAGCGGCCAACTAAACTTTCTATGACTGAACTTTTACCAGAGCTCTGTTAGGAAAACAATAAACAATATGCTTAAAACTGTGCCTAATTCGAATTCAATAAATAACTAACTGATTTTAAGTTACTGTTTCTGGGTCTGTAGGTGCTTCTAAATTGAATATAAATCAATATGATGTCATTGATGTTTTTATTGATTACAAATTAGAAACGTGACTATGCGCAAAAGACTTTTAAACATGTCAAACACTAGCGAAAGTGAAATTGTCTGTTTTTTTGAGGATAAGGATAACAGGAGTAGGTACGGTCTTGGTCAATGACAGCGTAGTTCAATTGACTAGAATGGGGACAAAGAACTCTACTGACACCTTTACATAACCATTACAGATACATCAACAGGAAACCCACCGCATGTTTCTTCCATTCTAGTCACAATCACGTTTATAAAATAACTGTTTTAAATATTTATAAAATGGTTACCTGAGTTCCTAAAACTACTATCTGAGGTAATTGGATGGCATCGGCTCCGACTGTGTTAAAAACATCTTGTAACTTATTAATAACTGGTATAAGCGCTTCCATAGTTAATAACAGATACTACAGTACACAATAAATATATTCGAAGAGTCTACGACAGTTTTATGTAACACGAAAAGATTATTTTTATCGAATATCAAAACAGTCAAACCAACCGGTGAAAGTCGGCCATATTGATTGACCACCCGCGCCCCGCCACTGGCCGTTGATCTAAAGCAGTGATGTACCTTACTATTATGACTATTTGGAAGGTTAATTCTACTATTTACAGTTGTTCAATTCTTGATCGTAGTTTTATTTTTAGTGTTATACAGAGAATCTCTGATTAAACCAACCAAATATGTTCATCATTTTCAAAATGTTTATGATTTGCTCATTGCATAAAATTGTCTGCTAGTGTAAAACTTTGAAAGGCCTGAGTATAGTTAAAAATAGTATTAATGTACTTCTTTTATACTATTGGCCTCGGTATAACTACTGTATCGTATAGAAATCTCAGTTGCGATTGAAGAAAAATGTTTCGGGTCTGGGTGTGATGACTATGGGAATGAGTATGTAAGCCACAACTCAGAAGGAGATTATAGTAGTACGTTTTGAATAAGGTAAATAAATAATTTTATTGGTACGGCGTGGCATGTCGCCGTCGCGCCAGTAGCATATTGGTTTAATACATTCACTAGTTATACTAGTTAGACTAATGCTGTAAAATATACATAATAATATGAAATTATGCGACACGACACACGATACGCCACGTTCCATAAGTGTGTTTCTAGCTTTATCAGCGTCTTGTCTTGTCTGATTGCCTGATATTACTTTACGCTTTAAGTGTCTTCTATGTCAATGTCAAATGTCAATGTCTTTATTTATTGTCTTTGTCTAAATAAAATAGTGTAATTTGGTTGATTTACTTTCTTGGTTGAGTTATCTATAGATTTATTAAACCGAATTTGATTTCGTATTGTTGTTTCTGTGATTTTTTGCAGCACTTTGCGCATGTATTTAAACATGCTCAACGCTGAGGTATGTAACGCAATCGTTTGTGTAAGTGTAACCTAACAATGTAATTCCCGGCATATTGCGAAGACTCAAGTTTATATTTTCTGTTATAGTTGAACACTGTGGACCCTGGAAGATTTGCGAGTAATTCGCAATCTATAGAATTTGGTCCATGGCACATATCATACGATGTTAGCTGTATACTGCCGAGCGTTTGTTCCACCAAGCTCGTTTGCGAACGCGAAGACGATCAATTTTGCCAGTTTTGTATGTAAGTGTCGATAATACTTTGTATTTTTTTCTTTATACCTTAAATATTTGATTGGTAAACTGATGGAAATGTTTATAAAAAATACTGAGAATGATGTACATACTCAATTTCTCAAATAAATATTATTTTTGAATGTATAAAAATATACATGTGGAATTTCAAAACACAAAGGTATGATGTTTTATAAGACGAGATGTCAAGTGATAGATTTCAGATTAAAATATAAATTCTTAAAATAACTAATTAACAATTTTTTTTCCAGATATTGCAAAGAGCTAAAGATACCACATTTTCCTGATATGGTGTTTCCTAAAAATATTCTGAAGCTGAACCATAACAGTGGTGCACAAATATGTTTTAATCCTCTTGATTCTCTTAAATGTGTTGCAAGCAGGATGGAAGCTATTGAAGTGTCATGTGCTGAAGCTTGGCAAGAAGCACGGTAAATATACAAAAAATAAATTAAGTACCTTTTAAAATTAGGGCATTAACCCCATTAGTTGAAACTAGTTATCTTTGATTTAAATTAAGAATGTAACTTGTAAACAAGTTCATAAATCCATGTAACTATTTAAGTTTACTTGTCAAAATGGTTTATTAATAATAATTGAAGCTTTTTCTTGACTTACTTCCTCTTAATAGTAATAAACATAATTCTGTACTATAGTACCAACTGAGATAGCTTATGCTATTTATCTGTGTTACTAATACTCATAAATTTTTTAAGACCAGATGCACCAAAACCAAAGAGGCCTTTTGATTGGACATTTTCAACTGATTACAAAGGGACACTCACAGATAATATTGTTGTAGAGGCAACCAGTGAAACAATTGATTTTAATTTACTGAAGCAAAAGGAACAAATCCTATTCTACCATGATTTAACTTTATTTGAAGATGAACTTCATGATCATGGAATATCCAAATTGTCAGTGAAAATAGTAAGTACTAAACATTCTACATGTTTGAATGAAAAATCTGCTAAATGTAATCCAGCTACAATGCTTATAAAGACACACATAACATACAAAATATCTATGTTACCTCTGATAATTTATAGAAATATTCCTTTAAAAGTCCAGTATAACTAATGCATTTTCAAAATAGACATCAAATATTACATTATTTTCTAAAAAAACACTTAATTAAAACAACACTAAAATAGAAATATGATGTTTTCAGAGAGTGATGCCGACATACTGGTATGTGCTGCTGAGATACTTTCTGCGAGTAGATGATGTACTGGTGAGGTCTAATGAAACGAGAATGTTCCATTTGCTGAACTCAGATTATGTTCTCAGAGAATACACAGTAAAGGAGGCACAGGCAAAAGATTTAAATGTAAGTAATCCTATCAATATTAAATATGCAAATGTTTGTAAGTATGGATGTATAGACAACTATTAATATATATGATCTTCAATGTAAATAATACCTTATTGGATAGTGGTAAAATTAAAACATAGTTTTATCACAGATCTATCATTCTATCTGTGTAATGTAATCAAATCAAACCCAAGACATTGCTTGGTTATTCTTCTTATAGTCGGTCCCTCATGTGAGATCAGAGATGAGGATTGTGGTCATCACCGGGGTAACATCTGGAGCGGATGATCCGCCTCCACCCGTTTCGATACAGTGCATCTCTCACTACCGCCAAGAATTCGGAGCATGATGAATCTTTCACTTGATCGGTCCATCTGGTTGGTGAACGACCACGCGATTGTTTGCCTTCGGTGTTCCTCAGTTTTTCCAGACTTTCATCGCAATGTGTGGCCGAAATAGGATAGAATGCGTTGTTGGCATATGGTTGCTTGGTTATATGGACAGTTAAATATAATTGTAATCTAAATGAAAGTCAAATGTTAAATGTTACAGTTATTTTAGTATTTACTTGTGTACAAATGTTCTGTTATTGTATTTTATTAAAAAAAAAAACTGTATAAGAAAATATTTTTAAACATTGTTACAGATGCCTACAGCTCACATGAAAGAAGCTGATGATGTGATACCAGTTCTACCAGTTAAAGAAAAAGTAACACACAAATTAATTGTGAATATACCTCCTAAATAGAGTGCTTTGATCTCCATTAATTATATTATTAAATATTAAATAAAATAAGTTGAGCAATTTAATAAATATGTAGTTATATGGGTTGTAACTACACTATAACAATGAGCAATTGAGAAACAATGAAATGTTAACAAATGAGAAAATATTATGGTGTTCAAACATTTAGTAAAATGTCACTATTTTAAATTATGAGTCATCACTTTGTGAATATTAAGTTTCTTAAAAACGAAGCCTTCCACTATTAGAGTTACAGAGTTGCCATAGAGGTCATGTTATTGTAAGTTCTCGCACAGAGGGCAGCACTAGCGATCTATACAAGCTTCAAGAAATTTAATTTCAACTAGTAGAGTCGCTCCTTGAAAGGTTTTGCTCCAGGGGTGGCAGAAGACTCCAATTTCAGACCTTGTCGCCCCATCGCGGCCTCCCTAGCGTCGGCACGTGCAGTGTCCTATAATAAATTCAAATAGCTATATCAAACATTTAGCTATAAAACAGATTTTGCATGGAAAATTCTTGAATTTAGAACATTAAGTTACAGAATACTTGGGTACTAGTGTCGCCCTCTGCTCAGAGTTTGCATAATATTCCCTGTTGCCTATCAAATTCGTTACAATGAACAAGAATCACCTATCTTGTATTAAGTATTAACTGTGAGTATTCATAATACAACGGTGCTCTTTTATAACTGCAAAAGCAAAAATAAAGTATTAAAAAAACCAGTTTGCTTTTTTGCTTTTATCTTCTGGCCTTCAGCTTTCGATGAAAACACTTTGTCAACGACAACCCAAGCTTCAAGCTACTACTACTATCCGGGTTCCAAAACTACTCACCTATCTCAATTTAAAAAAAAAAACGTAAATAAACACAATAAAAAAAATCTAATTTTACTGTTTCTCACTGCTTGTACACATTACCTACGTACATACGTATGAAATATATAAAGGAAGTATCATAAAAACCTAGGCTTAAAATGTATGCTTCCGATACTTATAGAATACTATTGATAGAATTTAAATGAATCTTCATGTCTTTTAAAATTACTTCGACTTAGATGAATTTCAAATATTGTTATAACATAAGTAGAAGTGCAAAGTAGGCACCACGAATGTGCGGTATGCAGATTACCTAATAAAATACGTGCGACTACCTACATTATTTTATATCTCCCGTTTTTTTGATACTAGCTTCCGCCCGCGGCGTCGCCCGCGTGATATGTCGATACTAGCTTCCGCCAGCTGCGTCGCCTGCGTGATATTTTGATAAAAAGTAGCCTATGTTCTATTCCGGAGTGTATCCAATGCCTGTGTCAAATTTCATCCAGATCTGCCTAGCCGTTTTGCCGTGATTGAGTAACAAACATCCAAACATCGTCACTTTCGCATTTATTATATTAGTTAGTTAGATACAGGTAAGCCCCCTGTTCCTTGGGCATTTCTTTGCTTCTCAAAGCTATCAAATAGTCTTATACCTATGTAGGTATAACAAGGAAAGCGAATGGGCGACCCGAGACACGCTCCAGACGTTGACAAATGACTTGATTACGACAACTACAATTCTATATCTTCAGAAAAAATGCGTCATTAAGAATTAATTGTGTTTGATTAGTTGATACGCAATGATATCTTTTAATACCTACTCTACTCGTGCCAGAAGAAGTTATCGGTTCGACAAAGCGAATGTTTCTACTAAGTACTTACCTACACATTGGTAATGTATGTAGGTATGTGCTGTGTATATTTGGTATTAAGAAAAAAAAACCAAACGTAAGTCTAAGATACCGAGTGAAGACTCATTGTTAACTAACTTCATTTTATGCTCGGAAACATATCCACAACAAGAGATTTTTTATGGGTAGGTACATAAGTCAAACATGGTCAAATGGATATAATGGATCATCACGCGTGTGTGAATTTTGTCAAAGCTACAATTATGTACTAACTTACCTAGGTAGATATCTAAGTATCTAATCTAACTATATCAATAAAAACCTTTAACTAAGTATCTACTTAATAAAGGTTTTTATTGATATGGTGCCTAGGTACAGTCATCATCAAAAGTCGTTGAACACAATCAGATTTTAAAAACCACTATACACCCATAAATGGCTATTAGCTGACCATACTAGAATGGAGGAGTTTGTACGAAAAACCAAAAAGTATAACTATTATAAAAAAGATTTTTAAATATCTCATCATAAAGTTGTATTTAGATAAACAACAATAAAGTACATACCTCTGCCTACATTTTGTACTCGATGGTTCGAACGACCTTTTTTACTCATTACGTTATATTTTTTTCTAAATTTCCCATATTTAAGTGAGTTATGATGTTCTTTTGAGAAATAAATTTCTTTAAACCGAACTTTGAGGTAAAAACAATTTGTTAATTTTACAAATAATTAAAATTAGGTAGGTGACTGATTCAAAAATAAATAATGTCAGAGATGAATTCTTCTTTTATCATGGATATTACGATGTACCTTACTCATACTTCATTTTGAGGGTGGAAAATCATCAATGGCCTCTGATTGATGATTTGAGAGTCAGAGTCTGAGTCTCAAATCATATTGATGATTTGAGACTCAGACTCTGACTTAAAACGACCCCGCTCTTTTGCTCCAAGCCGAGCCCGGTTGAACATCAGCCGTGTGGGGCGTCGTCTCCTTGGTCTATAGGCTATTGAGGCGCGCGTGAAATACTACGCGCCGTACATGTACTGTAAATGGTAAATCACCTCGAAACTCATCTCGAAAGTGGCTTTACGACTCCGCTTCTCATTACACAAACGTCAAAATACTTCCTTGTTTTAGTTCCTTTCACTTCGTTATTCACACGGTGGCGCCATGGTAGATTTCACTCCATTTGAGAATACGAAACTTTTAATAGGTAAACATGATTTCACCTCGGATTCAGAAGTGATTTCGGAAATTAACTTTTGTGAATAGCATAGCTGGTTCTGGTCGACGGCGAGCTACCCTTGTTCGGAAGTTGCTCGTTGGCAGACCTGAGAATGCGATACCTAATATTCGCAGTTTTCTATTTACTTATAAAAACTGTCTACAACGTAAAATGTTTTTTTCACACGAGATTCGAATCGCATTACATTGCGTTGTACTCGTCATTGTCATCCAACCACTACGTATGCCAATGTAAGCTGCTTCCGAATTCTTGTGTCGGTAGAGATCTATCTATAGTCTACCTATAGGTAGCCTGCATACACAGGCTACGTAGGTAAGGTTATCAGTTTGACTTTTATTATTAATTGGTACTTAATTACGACTGTCATTCAACTGTTAGTTTTTTTATCGTAATCAAAATCGCAACAGAATACATTAATCGATAAAATTAACAGATACGTAGACTTTTTTTATCTCCAACGTTCTAGGTAGCTACCGTTGCAATTTTCGATCATTGCTAACAGAGTTCCAAATGAGAGTAGCCATATTGTTATAATCGGAAAATATTAGTTTAAAATAATTTCCGTTACAATGAAGCTATATGTCGAATTATGGGTTGCCGCTATAGGTTTGTAAGTTCAACATTAAATATTTTTACTAATTAATAATTCAGTGTAATAATATTGCTTTTGTATTTTTTTAGTTTTATTCTATGTTGAAAATGGACAGGCACAGATACTGACGTATGAGGTTCGGTTGAATAATCAGCTACGTATGCAGCAAGGTATTGGATGGCCGTTACATCTGAATGTGGCGGAAGGTCACGAGGCCTTAATGCGTCTCTCTGAAAAACTAGAGAATCAGCAAAGCTGCGAAATTACGACTCCTGCTGGAATAACGTTTAATATCCGCAACCCACCGAACACTAGGTAATGAGAAATTATTTAAAATTTACTTAGATAAGGTTTTATAATTATAAGGCAGTGGGCGCGCCCATTTCAGCGTTGGGTAGCTATAGAAAAAAGTCTTATCGATACAAATACATCGAATGCTTGCTTGTTATATGTACTAAGGGTGACAAAAATGCATGGAGACCTTAAGGTCGACTATTGACTAACAGGTTTTGCATAACGCTACCATTGATAACTAGATGGCGCTGCTTTTAAATGAAAATAACCCTTCAAAGCTTGAATACTTTACACTGCAGAGGCACACAATAAGGTTTTTAATCGTTAAAATAATAATTAAGAAACAATAATATATTTATATTCAAATACACATGAGTTATGTTAATTTTCTCATTTCCGAGGACTTAATATAGCGCCATCTAAGTCAAGTCAAGCAAACCAATTAAAAGATGGCGTCAATAATTAATAATAGACAATAATAAAAGTTATAAACTAACCCGCATTTTCGATATCATAAAAAATGCGATCGGTAGCTCGGATAAATAAGAATGATAGAATAATGAAGTCAAAGCGCACTGGTTCAATTCCGGGTTATCATTTTTAAATTCAGGTTTTTTAACAATGGTTTTTTTTATATTTTTTTATATAAAATCAATAATAATAATATATAAATAAAATATTTGACGTTTAATATTTATAAAAGATAACAAAAATAAATATATATATTATTTTAGAATAAAATTATATTAATAAATATATATAAATAACTTTTATAATATGTGCTAACTATTAATGTAAAAGTAACATATTTTTCTTACAGATTAAGACTAATACTAAGTTTAATTCTCATAAAGGATAACAAATAAAACTATTTTAGTGACATTATAATTTCAGACATTTATTTCTCAAAACATAATATTTATTTCTTTCTTATATAGTGTATACCCTAACCTAATGACTTTTCAGCTAACTGACACATTATTTATTACACTTTTTATAAGATTAATAAGTATTTTAAATCAAAATAATTGTGTTGTGCTAGTCATTTATTAGTTAGTTTTAAACACAATGTTATAATACGATTCTATATGATATGCAACCTTACTTCTGCAACTATTTTACCTCACCATAAAATTTAATTAAAGTATTGACTAAAGTGATTCATTTTGTGCATCATGTTATGACAAAGGCTCATAGCTTAAGTATTCGTTCCAGAACAAGGAAGAAATTGAAGCTAGACCTTAAATCAATAACATTTCTAATACCAGGATATAGCATTCACTAGATATGGGACGAATTGTTTATAGTAATTAATAAAAAAATAATTTATTATTTTGCAATCAATAGCATCTGTAGATATTAATATTGCTTTTATTTTTATTTCTCATATTTAGTAAAACATTAAAATCATTACTGTATTACAGTTGCTGGTTATAAAGTAGTCAATAAATTTATCCTACTAACATTAAGTTTGAACATTTATCCATTAAATAAATTATAGCTACCCCGGTCTTGTAATTGCTTAATCCTATTGTCAACAATATCTTTTCTTTTAGGAACTAGTGTAGCCGCCATTTTTATCGATCCTATTTCTCCTATCTCGCTGGGCAAGGAATAATCCGTATGTCTGATTGCTGACTAAACACTTGCACAATTATGGAACATTACACATAGCACAATTTTATTGTCCTGCACGAACGTTATCACTAGCACATCTTCATGACGTCTTTCAGCACATCTATGTAGTTTTCACTGTTTGCATCACTGAAGATGACAATTCTCCAGTAATTTCCCTCATAACCTTGCCCCATAAGTTGAAGCTGGTCTGAGTCAATATCACGTCTTCGGCCAGATCCACTACGGTGCTCCAATGAACCCTCTTCTTGAAACAGCTTTAGATATCCATAAAGTGGCAGTCTTTACCTGTAAGGGACGTGTCTTATTTATTATTTTCATGTATTGATAACCATGGATAATAAAATAAATAACAAACGGTCATTTTAGAAGAATACTTACGTTTAAGCCAGTTTCTCTAGAAATTCCAGTATAATTTAAGCTTTGATTATGCAATGCTATTATTTGGGCCCTCGTAGCCATATCAATATTTGAACGCAAACTCATAATAAAAATAAATATTAAAAACTTGTTAAACAAATCGTGACTGAACTCACTCAAAGATAGTAAAGAATGTTATGATTGAACCTCAGAATACAGAACAAGATTGAACAAAAAGGTTTATTTTTAACTAGTTAATATTAAATTACCCTCAACTGTTTTGAGATTTATGATCGGGTTAAAGTTGCTAAACAACTTCAATATAATAAACAGTAGGATAATTTCAATATATTTCAAGGTTACGCAATGGCCTAATGGCTAGTGGCGTCGGTTAATTTTATGCTACCGAGTTCGAATCCTGGTTATTGCGTGCTTTGCTTTAAAAAGGTTTGGAATATCGTAGCATTAATTTGTATAAAAAATAATTAAGTTAATAACTTTGTATCTGATAAAAACTATAAATGTATATTTTTCAATACCACTAGTATACTAGCGCCATCTATGTCATCCATGGTATATAATTAAGGCGATGAAACGCCGTACAAACGATTTTGATTTGGAATCATCCATGCACTTATGACACTGATAGTACGTCAATGTCTGAGCGAAAGTTAAGAACAACTAACCTTATTAAAAAGATTTACCAATTTAACTAAATGCGATTAATCTTAATGTGTTTGTTTCGTGTACTAATTGCTGAGCTATAACTTGAGGGTTATTTGAAAAAGAACAATGCGACCAATTTAGCAAAATAAAAGTCAATAAAAGTCTCATAATAAGAACAATTTTATTAAAATAAAAGTTTCATTATTATTATTAGAACAATTTTATTTGCTTGGTTATCAAATAAGGAGGTAACTAATTGACTTAAACAAGTACCTACCTTTACCTGTATGCCTGGATAGCCATGGGTATGTAGCTAGGTAAGTTGGGTTGCTCTTATTTAGCTTTGAGAAAGTTCCAGAGTCTTGTCAAGAAATGTTTGCTTACCTATCGTGTTATCAATATTATTTAATACATGTTATGTTTGTATCTATATAATGCTGTTTTGATGCGCAGATTAAGCACTTATTTTGTAAAAGCAGTGCAATCAAGGTTTTTGAATTTTTTTCATTTGTGTGAAGGTTCTCTCCTTGGAGTGATGGCTGCGGTGTGAGAGTCCACAATATTTTGCCCAGGGACACGGGACGGTGGCGTATGACGGCTACCAGTGGAAATCATTCGATCACCGGCTGGTCCGAGGTTCATGTGACAGGTACATTTCTTGAACGTGATTGAACCTTTAGATACTAATGATGATAACATTATGGACTTTAGTATTCCTGCCTATTACCTATCAATATAATATCTAACATATTTCATTATCTGAATCAAACATTGATTGATAGTTATTTAATTGTTGATGGCTAGACTCTCAAATACCTTCAATGACCATTTTGCATAGAAACTTTTGTAAGGAAAACTAAATTAATGTTTATAATAAAAAATGACTTAATCGGCTGCGGGTACACGCTGCTCATGAATAAGAGTCCCACCACGGTAATACTGTCTATACCGTACCGTATTGTACAGAGCCGCATCTTTAAAATAGATGCGTACCCTCGCGCGATACGTAAACGTGCGGCAGGGCTGCCGCCTCAGCTTATTGTCGTTTCTATTAATTAGGTACCTTACTTAAGTACCAATTTCACTCCTCTCAACCTTCTTTCACATATTTGTATGAAGAAGATATTGTTGTGACTTGAACCTAGTAAGTAGAGCTTTTTCACGTGAGTAAGCTGTTATTGCCAATAAAGGTCAATGACCTTTTTTGATGTAAAATGTGATTAGTGATTAATATTTATATGTTATTATGCTTGCTTAAGTTTTTTTTATATATTATGTAATAGTTATGCTTATGTTGTGCATTGTATACGTAGTCAATAGGCAATATATGAAACTTTTCTTTCTTCGGTATAAAAATTGAGTATGTATGCATAATATTGTGGCGTCACTTCTGGTAGGTACCTACGAGAACATGCACAATTAAATATACCTAATATAAATATTTGGTGTTTGCAATCACTGAACACCAATTAGATTCAGTTGCCTATATATAAATATAAAAAAGAATTGAGTAGGTACCTAGGTAGGTACCTATAGGTATTGTGACAAACTGATTAAGTGGACTGGTAGATAGATAGAGTAGGTAGATTTGCAGGTGTGTTGTGTAGGATCTCCCTGTCATTAATGTTCTATATACCATAGGTTTTTTTTGTGAGGGGAAAATCATCAAATGACTTCTTCGGGCAGGAGGGAGTGTCAGACTCTTACTGACTAAAAACCCCCCTGTTCCTTCTCCTGCTCTATGCCGAGGTCGCGGTACCTCATTGCGCTTACCCCGCAACCCCGGCTGAACATCAGCCCTTTAGAACCCCGTCTGTGGTGGTCGAATGGCTCTTTGAGGCGCGCGCGGAACTCTACGCGCCGTAAGCTCAGGCCTGGTTCTGGACGGGCGGCGAGCTGCCCTTACTCGCCGACCGCAGGCCCGTGCTTACGGTGGCCGGAGATCGTCCCTCGATCCCCGATGCCCGTAGTGTCGCCAGTTGCGGCTGCTGGGGCGTGAGGAGGAGGATTGCTCCCTCACGCGGGCCGCCTCTCTCTTTGCGAGCATGACCGCTTCACAAAAGGAGGAGACGGCGTCCCAGTTCCTCTCACTCCGATATACCATAGGTACCTTTATTGATTTGGCTGATAAGCTATTGAATCCGCAGTGAAATCATGTTTATTTAAAGTTTTGTTTTCTCAAATGGAGTGGAGCGGAGTCCGTTGGACTTTCGAGATGATATTATTTATCATTTACAGAATAGCACTGCAGAGTATTACTTTGATAACTTCTTAAAACTTCAACTCAGCTATAGAATTCAGGTAACTGCTAAAGAAATAAAAACGAAACAGCTAGGTAACTATCTATCAAGATAACTGATTACTCAATAAGTTTCGCAGTGATAACCTTCAATTATATCCGGCAAGTAAACGGACATGTAAGTAGGTACTACTCAGTAGGTCAATGCCCGATATTAGGTCGGTAAATATTCAATAGGTACTTAGATGGTTAGGTACCTAATAACTCCAAAGACGAAGACAAAATCTTTAAGGCTCTTACAGCACTCTAGATTGTTACCATTGCTTATACTTACATAAGTATGCAATCAGTACTTAATGCAGATAACTATAATCAATTGCATTATCAAATTAATTCGCATACATTGTAATGTATTACTTTATATTGTTGATAAACAACGTAGGTACCTACCCAATAAATCATTTGTAAGTATCATGCACTAATCTGGTTTATGAAGTGGACATTCGCTCGGAACTTACTTTGTTACATAATACCTACAAAATATTTCATCAGGCTTATTATTTCCGTAAAAGGTACACAGTCAGAGAATCCATTGAAAATAACGACTTACACACGTGAAATAACTGAGAAAGGCTCTACTAGTGTCAAGTCACAATGGTACTCTTAATCATGAGCAGCGTGCGCGTGGCGGCGACGCGCGACGTCGCGCAGCCAACGAAATTATGAATAACATGAATAATAGTTTTTTTATGATGGAAAAATTATCAAATGACTTCGATGATATGATACAAAGGGAGTGTCAGACTCTTACTCACTAAAAACGCCCCCGTTCCTTCTCCTGCTTTGAGCCGAGGTCGCGATGTCTCATTGCGCTTACCCCGTAGCCCCGGCTGAACATCAGCCCTATAGGGCCACGTCTGGTACTGGTCTGGTTCTGGTCGGGCGGCGAGCTACTCTTACTCGCCGTCCGCAGACCGCGCTTACGGTGGCTGGAGATCGTTTCTCGACATGAATAAGAGTACCTATCCTTGTGTCTTTAGAAATTGTCAATGTGAGAAACTGTAATTACACATTGAGAGAGACAGCGAGGTTAAAATCCAATTGTTCAATGTCCGCAGCCTTTTAAATTTAAATATTTTTTTCAGCTTCAGTAACGAGTGATACGGAGGGGCCTATATCATTGGTAGATGGGAGCACCAACACAATAGTGGGACTTACGTCTTTAAACAATTCGTATTGTCTTGTTACTCAGCCGTTCTCTGAGACTACGTTGATCCCGGGTCAGTGTAAAGTGACTCTGGACCGCACCAATAGGGCTGTGCAAGGGAGGTGGAGTGCGATACTTGGTGTTCCCGGGCGAGTGGCCGAGTTACGTATTGATAGAAACGTCATTGTGGAAGGTTAGTGTCGCTCTTGTTTTGCTTACTTGACTACCTTATCTAGTTGCCTACCTTCCCTACCCACCCTATACACCCTACCTACCCTACCTACCCTACCTACCCTGCCTACCCTGCCTACCCTGCCTACCCTGCCTACCCTACCTACCTGACCTACCTACCCTACCTACCTGCCCTACCTACCTGCCCTACCTACCTGCCCTACCTACCTGACCTACCTACCCTACCTGCCTGCCCTACCTACCTACCCTACCTACCTGACCTACCTACCCTACCTACCTGCCCTACCTACCTACCCTACCTACCTGACCTACCTACCCTACCTACCTGCCCTACCTACCTGCCCTACCTACCTGACCTACCTACCCTACCTGCCTGCCCTACCTACCTACCCTACCTACCTGACCTACCTACCCTACCTACCTGCCCTACCTACCTGCCCTACCTACCTGACCTACCTACCCTACCTGCCTGCCCTACCTACCTACCCTACCTACCTGACCTACCTACCCTACCTACCTGCCCTACCTACCCTACCTACCTGCCCTACCTACCTACCCTACCTACCCTACCTGCTCTACCTGCCCTACATGCCCTACCTGCCCTACCTGCCCTACCTGCCCTACCTGCCCTACATGCCCTACCTGCCCTACCTGCCCTACCTACCCTACCTACCCTACCTACCCTACCTACCCTACCTACCTGCCCTGCCTGCCCTACCTGCCCTACCTGCCCTACCTGCCCTACCTGCCCTACCTGCCCTACCTGCCTTACCTGCCCTACCTGCCCTACCTTCCCTACCTACCCTACCTACCCTACCTACCCTACCTACCCTACCTACCCTACCTACCCTACCTACCCTACCTACCCTACCTACCCTACCTACCCTACCTACCCTACCTACCCTACCTACCCTACCTACCCTACCTACCCTACCTACCCTACCTACCCTACCTACCCTACCTACCCTACCTACCCTACCTACCTGCCCTACCTGCCCTAACTGCCCTACCTGCCTTACCTGCCCTACCTGACCTACCTACCCTACCTGCCTGCCCTACCTACCTACCCTACCTACCTGCCCTGCCTGCCCTACCTGCCCTACCTGCCCTACCTGCCCTACCTGCCCTACCTACCCTACCTGCCCTACCTTCCCTACCTACCCTACCTACCCTACCTACCCTACCTACACTACCTACACTACCTACACTACCTCCCCTACCTACCCTACCTACCCTACCTACCCAACCTACCCTACTTACCCTACCTACCCAACCTACCCTACTTACCCTACTTACCCTACCCAATCTACCCTACTTAATCTACCCTACCTACTACTCTACCTATGCTCATCTCCAACTTCTTAGCTCCCTCCCTAATTATTTTCAGTTAAATCGGTTCAGCCGTTCTTGAGTTATTTAGCATTACCTTATTCCTTAAGTAAGGACCTAACATTTAATTAAAAAGTTAAGGTTAAAAATGACTAAAATTTATACATAATACTACTCAAGCAATGCCGTCCCGCACCTAATGTACATAATAAATCTTAAAATACACGAAGTGTCACTGTGTTGACAGGTGGACAGTAGACTTTGGGATTCAGAGCACGATTTACGATTTAACCGGGAACAGATCCCATTCTGTATATCAGAATTACCCTGCTATCTCCACGATCTATCAAATACACAAACGAAATTTTTAACCCCTTTTGAACAATTTTTCTGAACATTTTGTTATTTTATCCAGTAGCCAAAATATGACTCAGGTGTCCGGCAATGTGTTCATTGTAATCTAACATTGACTGTTTGATAATTTGAACGTCCTCTACTAATCACTCAATAATATCAAATAAACAAATCGATAATCATTCTGGTACAACATTGCATTATTATGCGAAATCGTCATGCAGAAAAAAATACACTTTATCTATGAACAATCGCTTGCCTATCGGATTATGCTGCATTGCTAATTCCTATGACTCTGATGTCCGATAAAGGGTTACGTCTCGGGCACTGACGTAGGTACAAGTACAGAACCAGTTTCCATACTAGGTCATGTCCTCGACATTGCTTATACATATGTGGAAAATCGGCCATGACGTTAGTGTCGTGATTCGCATCAGTATTTTTGGCAACCGTGCCCTTTTCAGGTGAATCTAGTTAATTTATTTTCGTAGTTTTCTTCTTTAAGGTTTTACGACATCCATGTCGATATAAAAAGACACTACCTAATACCTATGTTATCAAAGTAAATTTCGTTTTGATAACACATTTAGCTACTGTCTTTATTACTGTATTACTGAGACTACGATAGTGTTATGCGTGATCAATATCATCAGTGAAAGTATAGGTGTCTTAGGTACATGATTGTTTATCAACGCGGAAAAAAGTACAAATATACTGTCATTATATCATCGATTGACATGATTGTATCATCACATATCAGACTAAGATTTGACTGGTCAAAATTCGATTTTGTTACAACCCTGATGAAAAAACTGGGAGATGTAGCTCTGTTGCATGTAGCTTGTACTCCTCTTCGCTGTACCGATATGATTATACGTTGTTATGTGTACTTATTTAGTAAGTTCAAGTATATACTTAATTTATCGATTTCAGGTGAGCGCCTCGATGTAGGTTTCGTCCGAGACACACAGAACCATAATATTCATTTGTACTGCAACATTCTGCATACGGAGAAGAATATAACATTTTGTCGTTTCCAAAAAACTACAGAAACATCTGGTCTCAATGTCAGGGATGGACTCAGTGATGGTCGGTACAGGTAAGTTGATATCCTAATGATTCTTTTAATTAAACTATTGAAATATCAAATCTGTAAGAAAAGTTAGATGACAATAGGCTCGCTGTTTTGGGACTCCCACCAAAATGGCGAAAGGTGGGTGAAAGTAATAGATAACGTAACAAGCTTACCACTAAAAAGAGAAATACAATATCATGTAAAAATAATTCCTCTGGTTGTTACCTAGGCTAGGTTGCAGGCTAGGCGCCCACTGCTCCCAGAAATTAGTTTGTTGTGCAAACAGACAAACATACATACTGAGTTTTATATTTTTTTTTTCATATTTTCTTTCTAGTATTGCTTCCTTAGCCTATCTTATCTCTTCTATAAAATGTTAAATGTTCAGCCACACTTTATTGTTTTGGTATAAGCATTTTTAATTTTTACAAAATCATGAATCGGTACTGTAATGTACATTTTTCTCTTAGCTATTACGGTGATGGATTTTTCAAAAGACATTGTGGATTAACGATAGAATCTGCCACTTCTGCTGATTATGGCACTTGGCGGTGCACGATTGGAGTTCAAGAGAGAGTGGGCAATGTCATCCATCAAAGAACACCAATGCAAGCTCTCATTACCGTTTCTGAGCAACAAGGTAATACTTTACATCTGTGTGAATATGTATTATTTTTTTTGCGCCTAGCCTAAGTACAGCAAATAATAAGGGTCATAAGGTTAAGGTAAGGTTCCTTTTGCAAAGATGAATGGAAAATTGTCAAGTACGTACTACCTACCTACTAATAGGAAATGTCAGAGACTTATAACAATCACCCTATTCCAAGTTCGAACCCATTTCCGGGGCCATGGTATAATCTAGCGCACGTCCTTAGCAGGAGATTCCGAACCTTGACTTGTAAATTAGTCATGGTGATGGTTCATTCTTAATGACTTTTCATTACATTTGCGTTTTTTTCTTTTTGTACTTTTTCAATGTCTATATCCATATAATGTAAGCAGGTACGATCATTAATTAACAAACATTTTTGTTTCAAGCCCCAATGATAAGACGGCAGCTCACAAGCGACAGATCAGGGTCAGAGGATGAAATGCGAACAGTGTTTGTAGAGGACAATACGAGCTTAACATTAATGTGCCGAGCGGATGCTTCTCTCAAATATTGTTGGTTCCAGCATCCAAATGGCTCTCAATACACACCTGTGGAGCGACAGGTTCAAGGTGAACAGGCATTCTGGTAAATATTTGATTGATTAGATTCACTTTTTCATTTTTTAGAATGGTTCGTTCAGGTAGAGCACAATATCTAAGATTAAGTTTTATACGCGTTATCTTTCTCTCAGGTACACAGGGGAAAATCTTCAATCTGGCGATTGCGGGATTACCTTCGCACATGCATCTCAAAACGATTCTGGAGTATGGACCTGTCATATGGGTTACAGATACCAATTAGGGATTGAGATAATGCAAGATATGAAAGTGCGAGTGACTGGTGCTTTAGCTGCTAATAAACAAGAAGTCCAAACTGAAATTGGTGGCACTGCCACATTGTATTGTCACACTTCTAATGGACCCAGGCCACTTGATTACTGTAGATTTTTGGCACCCAATTTTGTTGGAATAAGTCTTGATGCATCGGTTACTGCTGAGAAGTAAGAACTTTTTATCATTTTTATTATCAGAACGTATCGCGTAAGTTTGTGCTTACTGACGTGATTCGCAATTAGGGATTTAAATTACAGTCTCAACCTAAATTAAAGAAATCATAGATCTTGATAAAACCTTTGACTGCACTAGTTCACATCTTTACACAGTTATATTACAAACAAAATAAAATGATTTTGGAAATAATTTTTTTAAACTTTTTACGTTTCTCTAGTTAAATAACATCTATTCCAAAATTGTCCAAAAAACTTTTGGACCGAGTTCTAGTTTTCGTTTTGAGCCCATTTTTTGGAGAAAATTAATCTCAAGAGTACTCTTGATTATTTAAATCACTTTTATTTTTTCCAGTGCCATTCTTAATCGTTATTATTTCACTCCTGGGAGGGAGTTAAGTCACGGCGACTGCTCTCTTACTATAAACCCCGTTACTGCGGATGACTTGGGTCATTGGTTCTGCGCAGCGCTTCTACACGATCAGATTGTGGAATCAAAGGACACTATTTTTCTTCATCAAGATAGTCGTAAGTATATTTGAAGCTTCTGTGAGTGACCATTAAAAAGTTGACTTACTCATCTAAAAATATTTTTTTATCATACGAAGCTGACGTGTTCTCGAGTTTTTGCTCTAAATATGTGTTTTCTAAGTAATAAAACATTTTCAACGCTTTGATGAACGCGCGACGTCTTGTATGTATTAACTGAACATAATTAATTGTACTTGAATATTTATTTAGGTTATTAACCTTTGGAAGCTAAGCACTTAGGCACCTATTCCATTAAGCTCTATTGTTATACGAACCAACCATATAGCCTTGGATTTTTAGAAGAAAACAGTTTTTATGTGCTGCTAATAGTGTTTAAGCCGTTGACAGAATAAAACTCATGACGGGTTGCTAAATAAAAAGATATGTTTTTTTGTATCACTAAATTCTGCTGTCTCGGTTCATGAATACTGATTGCTGTCAAGAGGCAAGCAGTGGGTTAAAATTTAGACCAGATATAATGAATTAATTCAGTCTCCATCTAAAAAAAAAAAAAAATAAGTAGCTTTTTGGGTTTTTAAATTTAGCAAGAGTCTCTTCTTGTCTATTAGTATTTTGGAATGCATGAGGTACTGCAAGAGGAACTTATGAATGTACTTATTTTTTATATGCTTTTGTTGTTAATTTAATTGGATCTAATCCGTTTCAACACTTTACTCAATGCTAAAGTCTCTAAAATTATTTTATACTTGAGGGTCAGAGGGGTTCCTTGACTGCTTAATTTGTAGCATAGATTCTAAAGTAATTAAAGACAGCTTTTTAGATTCTTGAACTTGTATTACAAAGAACTTTTACAATTTTCGCATTGGTAGAGTGCAATTATACCTTTGACCCTAGACCGTACATAGAACTTACAATATAAGAGCCAAAACTGCACCTTTACCGTTTAAATTCACGAATACTTCATTTGTTTGTCGACAGATCGAATGCCTGCTTTCCAAGCCAGTTTGATTGGAGCATCTGTTGGCATAGCATTCTTAGGGATAGTGTTCGTTGGTGTCCTTTGGTACAAGAAAGGCTGGCAAATACCGTGGCCTACCTCACTTAGAAGGTTCAGCAGCCGAACTGAAACCAGTTCTATGCAAATTAATCGAGTCTCAGGTATAACGAGCACAGGACGAAGAGGAAGCAACAGTACGACCAGTAGCAACGAAATTGACGGACAGCCATGAATTACGCGATAATCAATTCTATTGACTATTTCATAAAAATATTTTTGCTTCTGGCGTATTCCACCTCTTTGTTTATGTATGTGATATTGTGATAAATCTTCTCATATTTAATATTTAATACTCATTGTTTCGGCTAAGCGTAATATTTAATTTGTAGACTAAAAAATATTTTTTTATATACATGATTTGTCCTTTTTATTAAACATATTGTTGTTCAAATTAATACGTTTTTTATTTTGATCTACCTATAGATTATTAATGAGCACGATTGTTACATATTATTAAGTATGAGGTGCTGCAGGTATAAGTAAGGTTACATTAGTAAAATACAAAGATTCAGGGAGAAAAGAAAATCTTATAAACATTTCAATAGTTTAGATTCTAAAGTTAGGGTATTCCATAAATAAAGTAAAACAGATGAATGTTTTTTTTGTATTCTCTTTATTAATTTAAATACTATTTATCTTAATATTAATATAAATATACAATAACCTTTTCATTTCATACTTTTGTTGAGTTGTATTTTTACTCTACCATAGGAAGGGTATCACTTTACGTAAATAAGTGAAGACCGATAGAATATTTTATAGAAAGGCAAGTATCAATAATAATTTAAGCATGTATGTAGAAGTATAGTGCTGTATCATGATCAGAAAAAATATTTTTATTACAATAAATTGCAGTACCTAATTAAATATGTTATCTTATCGGTAAGGCAATTAATATTTGAATGAATTAATCAGTAATCACTTCTTATTGACTATGATCACAGCTTATTTTAATCTTCGGTGTATCCTTTTATTATTTGGTGGATGTCTACTTTTGATAAAAACTTGTTGATGGCTTTGACGACGGTTCGGACGATCTGCTTGATGGCCGGCGGAGAGAGCTCATCCATCAACTGTTGCCAGTTCTCGTTGGCAAACTGAAGGGTTGTGTCCGCTGAAAAGATGGTAATACAATATTATAAAGTAGTTTTTTTGGCTGTGGCTGTTGCTGTACACGTTACAAGCTCGATCGATTAAATGTAATCTACGTTAAGCCAACAGTGTTGGTATGAACTAGAGTAATACCTATAAATTTTGTTTTGAATACGGTAGTTTCCAACCAGTCAAATTCAATACGTTTATCCAAATGTCAAAAACGATACTTTTCTATGGAAATTTGTATGAAATACTGAGTTATGACGTCATAGTATTTTTACATTTAATATCTTACTTATTTCTTAAAAAATATCTAAAATTTAGTGTATCGATCGATCGATGAAAAGAAAGTATAGTTATTTTTCAATAATTTATTGTATTGAAACGTTGAAATTGTTAATTTTTGACCTAGGAAACTACCCCATTAGTCCAGCTAAGTATGTACCTTTTTAAAGCAGGGGAAAATCGTTAAGTTACTTCTCGAGGTACTGTAAGATTCTGACTGACAAAATACCATCACGTTCCTTCTCCTATCCCGGGCTGGCGTCGCGGTACATTATTTCCCTTGCACCCGCAACCCTGGCTGAATATCAGCTCTACTTGGTTCTACTAGGCAGGACCCATCATATACAGCTTTAGTGATCTACTAGTTACTTCTTTAACAATGTAAAGGAGAGAATTGGTATCTAGCTTGTTTGTTTGGGATTGGTCTCAGGGATTTAAACTTGTGTTGGACACTTCATTTTTAGAGAAAGACTATAAAACATCACCCTATGACCAACAGAGCAGAGCTGCGGAAACCGCGGGATAGTAGTGTGCTATAATATTATAAACTTACCAAGTTGCTTGTTTCCATTGAATAGGTTCTTCAGGTCGAATACGGTGCGTTCAATGGTATACTTATACTTTGGAGTAGCCAACTTCATGTGATCGCCTTTGCTGTCCTTTTCGTGGATCAATTTACAGTCAATGTGCACTTCCACGCCCTCTGTAACATAAATTTTATATTGGAGTTTTTAATATAAAAGCGGAATATATTATTAATATATAATACGTAATTATAGCAGGCATAATAAAAAATAAGTGATTCAATTCACTTGTAATAACAACTAGTTGTTGCGCCGGATATTCGCAGCGCGTATCCAGTGTTGCCAGCTTTGCAGCAACAAGGTACATAGTCAACATAATACAATAGTATTTTCTAAACTGATTTGACGATACTTATATTTCATTTTCTGTTTTTTTTTGTCACTAAATAGTATAAAATTAAGTCGCTTTCTCTGGCACTATGTACCTGTGATTAATTCTTTAATACTATGCAATGAAATTCATTGATACGATTTTTTCCAATGATAGAGCGATTGAAGTAGAAGGTTTATATGTAGGTAGATGTAATAGCATTCACTAAATAGTATAGAAATTCAGTATCAGCATTGCAATCGTGCAAAGCCGGGGCGGGTCGCTAATACTTTATAAAATGCGTTTATCATAGATACTTACGTGCATCAACCAACGCGTCTCCGTTTCCTTTGATGGGAAGAATAAGGATTCTGCCGTCAGCAACGTACTTAGCAGTTAAATTCAAGTCTCCTTTGAACGATAAAGAGAATTGTCCTTCGCCTTTACCAACATCGACCCTGGTGAAAAAACATTTGTATATTAATAATTTATTTCTGTTTTTTTTTTTTAATAGTAACGTAAGTATCGTGACCTGCACTACATTTTATGGTAACCCTAAACGCGCTCGTCACCGCGACGCGCACAGTACTCATGTAGTGTTACCATATTATGACAGGCATTTGCCGCATTTCACAGGCATTTTAAAGTTAAGACGGGCGTGCTGGTATCGGCTGACAGTGGAATTAGTAACAGCAATATTGATTAGGTACTCAGGAAAATTACAAGAGTGTATCTTGTGAAGATTTTTACGTTTATGTACTTATAAGAAAAGAAAGAACTTAGTAGGTACATATTAAAAATATAGTCTGACAAATTTCAGTAAGAAATATCCCTCTTCATTATTATGTTTGGTTTGATTTCGTGCATCGTTTTGCTTTAAACAGGCATTTTTCTTAAATAACAGACATTTTAGGTGCCATAGGCAGGCATCCCTCTATTTATATAATGTAACCTTACTCATGAATAAGAGTCCCGTTGTGACTTGAAACTGGTAGAGCTATTCTCAGTTATTTCACATGAGTGTCTAGTGTCTAAGACGTTATTTCCAATAAATTTAATTTGTCTGCTGTCTGTTAAGTTTACTTTAGATACTTCTAGATAAATCAAGAAATATTCTAATTAATAATGATTGCAACCTAATCAATATTTTCATATCTTTAATGGCACGGACTAAAAAAATGTTAAATCTTGCATAAATGTAGGTAATTATGGTCGATAAGATTATTGAAACTCGTGATCGATCACTATGAGAAGACTTAAGTAAACAAAGAAAAATATAGAAATTCGTTTAATTAATGATGTTTTATTATAATTTAATAAAAATGTCTTCGTTCGATTATAACCTCTATGTCTATTTTTTTTTGAGAAAAGAAAATCCAAAATTTTCTTAAGGGATGAGGAATTCTTCGCTTGTTGGAATGAGAGGGAGTGTCTGACTCTTACTAATTAAAAAATTTAAAACTAAAGCCTCCGCGTTCTTTCTCATTCACAACCCTAATTACCGACCTAGAACTCAATTAATTTAACTTAACTTGAAAAATATTTATACATGGTACCTATGAAGGTATTCTGCCTTACTGCACACCTATGCATTACGTTCTAAATGCTTCTTACATAACGGAGAGCAAAAGTCAACTTCACTAGTCAATCATTAAATCTAAGTATTTATTACTACAAATTACCGTAGGATAATTTATTATAAAAACGTAATTTTCAACAGATTGCTCGTTAGATATAAAGCATTACGGAACTCTTTAAAAGCAATTAATGTTAGACACGTGTATTCTAACAATTTGCTCCAATCGAGTTATTGTATTGAGTCAATTATCGACCTATCTACATATTATACTTCTGAATTACTCATTTACTTTGTCAGGTATCGAAACCAAATAATTTGCATACAATGTGGATCGTCGACATTTGTTTCATAAGTAAATAGAATCCAATGAATAATCATTGTTCATCAATAGAAATATGCAAGTTATATGTACCTACACTTCCGGAGTAGGCATAGTCCTCGATTTCCAAGGTTTTATAGGGGAAACTGGACCTTATCTTGTTCCTATACTCGTGAACGACATATTTAATTAAATCACAAAGGTAAATTCGTATCTACTCTTAGAAGTAAAGAGAACAAAGAACAGCATTGAAATACTTAGTGTATTTATTTTTATTGGGCCCAAAGCAACAAGCCCTTTACAACCTCCTCTCTCAAACCGCTCCAACTCCTGTAAGCCAGGATCTATAGTAAATACAACCATGAAAACACCGTAACACTGAAGTCCGTCGCGTCCCAGGGACATGACTGACTGTCTTAGCTGTCGCGACGAAATAAATCAGAAGATATTATTTGGGGAGAAGGAAAAACGATATAGTTTCCACTTCCCTCGGTAAGTTTAATTCAGGAAATAGTGAAGGTATATATACCTTGCAAAATATACTTAAAACTGCTTTAAATAAAACTTAAATTAACTCAGCTGATCGTAGAATATCGACAGGTCTTCACCGCAGAGTAACAAGTTGCGCTACGGTTGTTAGGTACGACACTAGCTTTATCTTGCCGCATTGCGTCTGTCTTAGTAGGTAGTACGTATATACAACGTCAGACAGCCTACATAAACTAACTGATTATTTCTTAAAATAAGCTTCTACTTCTACTTACTTCAACTCCGTCACTTTGGCCTGACTGAGGCCGTGCATCTCAGCTTCTGAGAAGGTCAGGTTCAGCCCGTTTCCAAGGATCTCGATGTTCTTCAAGTGTACTGGATCTATCGAAGGGACATCCATTTCTGGGATCCCCAGCGTGAATTTCGGCAGTGCTATTTCTATTTGTTTCTTGATGCAATCCACGAAGTCATCGCTTTTGAATTCACACGGAGTGATGTAGGGTGCTAGAACAGACATAAGTACTTATTTATTGTATGAATGTAAGTAATTGCTTGACGATAAAACTAATCGATATGTTGTGTCTGATTTATTTACTAAGTTGCTATTATTTCCTCAAGGATGTTTGCAATGATGATCTGTTCATCACAATACTCTTTTATAACTGTATATCTACAAGTTATAGAGAAAAACAAAACGCAATTAATTTTCAATAATATGTATGGTTAGTACCTAAATCGCAAAATGCGGTTAAAGTAGGTATGACAAACTTAAAGACGTAAAGATGAAACAAAGGATTTATTGAACAACTAGAAGAGGATAATAGAAACGTTCAGTTGTAAATCTTAATTACAGGTAATAGAATGCAAAATCATTAAAATACATTTATTGATAATCTATATCGTTTAGTCATAGTAAAGTGTTGTGTTGGGCATTTAATAAGAGTCGATTCGGTATAATAGTAATAATTAAAATATTAATTTTCGCTATTTGTCCAATCTTAAGAAGAAAAATAATCGTATTCGCCTTAGTAGGTATACCTACTTGTGTACGCACCTAATACAATCATATCAATATGTTTTTGTATTGCAGGAAGTACTGAATTATGAATATTTACAGACTGTCATAAATTAGTTACTTTGTTAGAATGTACCTAATGACAATAGGTCGTTACCGGTTAGCATATTTTTATGTTTTGTTGAATCTTTTAGGGCTGATTTTTCAATAGTCAGATAAATGTTATCTGAGGAATAAAATTGTTGCTGTCACTGTCTTATACAAATATTCTGACGCGACAGCGTTATAATTATTCCCCAGGTAACTTTTATCTAACCATTGAAAAATCAGCCCTTAGTTACAATAATATGTTGTGTGGTTGGTAACGTGATCTTTATAGTAAAAAGGACTTTCTATCTACATCTAAATATCTATAAATGTTTATCTACATATTTATATGATAATGAATTGTGAAAATGTGTTAGTAAGCGCGTAACTCAAAAACGCCTCGACCAATATTGTTGTGTCTGTTATTAGACCGGAGAAAAAAAGTCAAAATTGGAAAATTAAAGTAAGTTTACTTATAAAATACAATGTGATAATAGGTCATCCAAATTGTAAACTTACATCTATTTATATCTACATATCTATATGTATATCTTTATTCTATTATTTATATACTAATGAATAGCCAAAATGTGTTGGTAAGCGCATAACGCCAACGACGCGAACAATTTTGCCTCCTGTTTTTTGTTGTATTTGGGTCATCTCATCAGTCAGGAGAAGTTTTAGGGGGTAATCTTTGGAACCGCTGGTCGGATATCCAAAATTCTTTCACTGATAGAATATTCCCGAGTGCTATAGGCTAGGCTATATAAAACATCACGCTACGATCTGTTGGAGCTGAGCAGCGGGTGAAACCGCGCGAGAGTACCTAGTGTGAGATATTTTAGAAAAGTGAAAGGGGAAAATTGCTAATATAATTGGATATCGTGCGAAACAGTGGCAGTTAGTCACTACAAATAACAAAACAAAATCTCTGTCCCTATATCTCTTTGTATGCTTAAATCTTTAAAACTACGCAATGAATTTTGATGAGGTTGAGGTGTTTTATGGTATAGGTCCGCAAACGAGCAGACGGATTACCTGATGGTAAGCAATCAGGGCCGTAAATGGACACCCGTAAAACAAAAGGAGTTACGAGTGCGTTGTCAACCAATTCAGGATAAGAGTCTCGGGTATTTAAGGATTAGGAAGAGATGGGGAAGGGGTAGGTATTGACTCACACGGCGAAACCCAACTTTGTGGTGTTTTCACACCGATTTTCTAAGAGGCCATAGAAAACGGTGGCAACACGGTGGCTCTCCCACACTTAATTAAACGATATGGTTTATATGTATAATAACATCCAGAATATTGTGGTGACATTTAGTATCGGCATTGCACCCGTTCGGAGCCGGTCCAAGTCGCTAGTTTACTTACAAAATAAAATGAGTGTGCCTAATAATTCTAATTCTAATAAACATGCGTCTATACCTAGTAAGTGACTTAAATAAAACATGATAAGCTCATTTCCATATTATCTCCTTCAATCTCTACTGCCATAATTAGTGTGTGTCGTAAGTACCTTGTTACAAAACCAATATGTATGTTGGTTTAAAAGTATAATTGTTTCTTTGAAAGATATGGTTTCATTAAACCACAACTTCGTTTTTAATGGTTTTGAACGTAAACATGGGAAATTCACGGAATACGAGTAAGCTTATGTCATCTTAGTTGGGTTAAGTAATGTTTTCATTCTTTTGAAGGGGCATGGGGAATCATCAAATGACTTGTCGCGGCCTGAATGGAGCAAGAGGGAGTGTCAGACCCTTACTGATTAAAAACAACCCCGCAACCCCGGCTGACCATAAGCACTTGCAGGTCATTTTTTACCGACTTCAAAAAAGGAGGAGGTTCTCAATTCGACGCGTATTTTTTTTATTTTATTTTTTTATTTATGTACACCGATTACTCGAAGATGCCTGGACCGATTTGCAAAATTCTGTTTTTTTGTTGAAAACTTAGCAGCACCGGATAGGTACTATTTTCTAGTACAGTGAAAATAGAGGGCGTTTTCCGTGTGTAGGTACATCATCATCTTCCTGCCCTTGTCCCGTTTTATTTGGGGTCGGCGCAATATGTTTTTTTCTTCCATTTTGTCCTGTCACTCTTCACGCTATCGCTAACTCCTCTGTCTTCCATATCACTTATCACACAATCCATCCATATTTTCTTTGGTCTCCCTCTCCCTCTCCATCCATCCACATTTATACTCATGGCATTTTGTTACATGTTTTTCATCCCTCCTAACATTCAAAATTCCGTGTGTAGGTACATATGTATATATCATAAATACGTAATTAGGGGTCATCGTTTTAATGATTTAATAATTTATATAACGAGATTCAATTCACGCAGACGCACGTTGCTCGAAGCGTGCGTGTCACCAATCGAGACGAGTGTTCAAATCAATCGTCAAACGGATCACGTATCGTTTACCTTGTCAAATTGAGATTGTATAAACGAAAAAAATCCTTTCTGATTTTATATGTATAAATGATTGATTGTGTTTACCTACACGATAGCTAGGACCAGTGTTGATTTGATGATATTAATTAGTCTGGCTGTAATTGTATGTACAATAGCAGTCTGCCAGCTCTGAATAATAAAACAAATGAAAAATCGTAAATCTCTGTGTAAAGTTGTCTATTTCATAGCACGTCAATTAAACTGCTGAGTAAGCGCTAATGACTTTTTATATAAGGAAAATAAACTGAATAATAGGAAGATAAATGTTGAACTTAGTAGCAGGAGTGCATGAGGAAAGTTCAGGGAGGTAAAGTTTAAATGGAGATATAGAGGAAACATACAAAATTTGTTCCAGCAAAATTTCACTGCAGATACAGATTGTAATCTCAAGCACTGACTGTTTGGGAAAACCCATACACAATATGTGTACTGATGCTGTCTTTTACTGAAGTGGTCCTGTCTCATGATGTGAGAGAGCAAAGCTTCGGCACAAATGAGTCGGCTCTACCAGAGTGATACCACGGCCTCACATATTTCGCTGTCCTCCCCCTATCTCTTCCCAATCCTTAAATATCCGAATCCGGAACCTTTATCTCCAAAAGGCCGGCAACGCACTGGTTACTCCGTTAGTGTTGCGGGTGTCCATGGGCGGCGCAGATCGCTTACCATCAGGTAATCAGAGTGCTCGTTCGCCGACCTATACCATAAAAAAATGATGATCAAATATGAATTTGAATTATCATTAGCTCTTATGAATCTAATTAGGATCTATATGACGACTATCCAAGACATTATTATGACAGTACCGACATTATTAAGACAATAAGTACCTGTTTATAATTCAACTAATATACATATAGATAAATGTAAATTTGAGGTAACCAAAATTGAGTCTTCATTGTGTGGAATAGATTTGATTTTAGTCTTCAAAATGAAGATTAGGTTTTGGTTGTAGTGATTGTGGCACTAGACTAGTCTAGATTTGGATCACATGAATATAATTTATCAACGGAATGACGTGCAAGGGATGCTACTGTGACTGACAATGATGGACTGTGTCATGACTGCACTCATACATATGCAATGATTCATGACGTCAACGTCTGTCTTGAATAAGCTGAGTCAAAACAAGGGACTTGTTACACGTAGTCCTGGTTATGACTAGTTAGTTATATACATATAATATGGTCGTTGTCTTTTATTTAATGGGACTAACAAAATCAGGGTAATATCATAATTATGTAATAAAAATTAACCCTATTTACGATTGAATAATATCAGTGTCAGTCAAAGTGGATAAGTACAAAGCGTCTTTAACTTCATCGGAAGGAGTACCTACTGACCCATTTATTAATCGAAAAAAGTTTAAAAATGTAAGCCACTTTCTCTATTTACCTATATTATTAAAATTTAATATCGATTCATTTTGAAATTAAGTAAACATTTCATTTTTTTAACCAAATTTAAATCATCACAGTACACATTTTATGATCATTTGTATCTAGAGGTTGATAAAATTATGATTATTTTGTATTTTTTTTCCAAAATATTTGTCATTATTTTCTACCATCGAATGATTATCTTGACCAATTAACTCCGTCAATAATGTATCTATTGAAATCTATGTAGCAATGTTGCATATACAATAATACAAATGTCACTAAAAAGATATAAATATAGGTACTTCATTGTAAAACTCGTATTTTTAAACCTATATGACGACTGAATAAAAATACGAAAACGGCATTTTAGCCGTCTTTTTTCTTTTGAAAACGAATTGGTGGAGCGACCTTGACTTAATGTGCACTTCATTGAACCGACAAAGTTTGAACTTGACCTTAAGACGGCACGACTGACTGTATAACGTTAATTAACGTTTCTTAATGTCGGTAAACTCATTTATTTGTTAACATCTTTCTTTTCCTTACTCGTACTTTATCAAAATCACAGGATAAATATCTACTTTTTTCGGTTGTCTGTAGCTAGTAGATAGGGTACTGATAACTATTGATCATAATATTGACCGTGGTCACATACGGGTTGTTCCATAGTATATAACCAAATTAAAATAATGCTAGATTTAACACGTTTAAGTATATAGTTTGCTGTGAAAATCTGTTTTGAGGGGAAAAATCATCAGAGGACTCTTGCCCTGGGTCGAGAGGAAGTCTTAGACTATTTATTACTGACTAAAAAGCACTACGTTTCTTCTCCTGCTTTAGGACACGGCTACGGTGCCTTATTGCGCTTGCCCCGCAACCCCGGCTGAAAGTTTTGAAGTAACAAAAGTTATGTTTACACCCAGTCTATCTAAATAAATACCTATAATATATGTATGTATATACTGTAACCCTAAGCAACAAGAAACTTTTATTTTTATACTATGTAAAAAAGGGGAAAAATCTTATCGTCGCATGGTCGATAGCAAACTTCCCTTTTTGTTTATTTTTTGCTGACAAAAAACACCAAACCGCCCTGTGGAACTATAAATTTGTTTTTATCGAACAATAGAGAAAATTGCAAGCAAATCACGATTTTTGAGATATTCAAAATAAATCAGTCAGTTGGGGCTTTTGTTTATGATATTCATGATAAGTGCGTTTGTCGTTTTTCCTGTGGAAATATGTATGTATCGCCAAGGTATCTTTTGAAAATATGCACAAGTGAAAGAGATAGGTCTCATTTTGGGAATATGAAAAATAAGCTACATTTGAGTACGATTCGTAGAGACAGTTCAAGTCTATGTAGGGGACCAATTGAGTACCTCAATGAGATCAGCTACTCGGTTTTAAATTTTGTCATCTTAATGATGATAATAAGCTTTTATTTAATTCGAAAGGTATGTATGTAGCTACATATTATTACGTTTGTGAACGTATGTTCTTGTTACAAAATTTTAAAGCAGACATCTTCATTCAATTTAGCTGCGATGTATACTTTTGTATACTTGCACTTTAAGTTTGTTTGCACATAAACACCAAGCTATCTATGAATTTACTCTAAATACATCACAAAAGATTTTTAAAGTCCCAATAGTAATAAACCCATGCTAGAAAAGCTGGTTTTCTCATTGTATTAACTATTTATATGTATTGACACTCATCATCGCTCGGGTTATTTCTAATGTGACGGGTGTAATTAAATATTGACTAAATGACAAGTACTAGATAGATACCTACCTAATCAAATGCAAAGGGATCATTCTACAAATATGTATGTAAGTAGGTATAAGTATATGAGTAATATTTGAAGAGGACATTGTCTTGTGTAATTATTTACCTGCCGGTATTGTCATTTGGAGGCCCAGCGTTTGTGAGTTTTGAAGGCTGATTAGGTACTTACTTATGTCAAACCTTTACTTACAGGTGCACACACACACTTAAAGGTTTACAGGTTCAAAAACGTTCAATTCTGTAGTATTTAGTTTAGTTACTTAATTCATCAAACCTCAAGCGAACGCTAGCGTTTGTGCACCTATTGTATTTCGAATTACCACAATCGAAAGGTTAATATTGACTGCACGGTTGGTGCGGTGGCTGGGCAACTGGTTGCCGTGCGGTATATCGCGGGTTCGATTCCCGCTCGGAACAACTATTTGTGTGATCCACAAATTGTTGTTCCGGGTCGGGGTGCCATGTGCATGTAAAATTTGTTTGACAAGGATACCGAGTCCATGGAGAGCTTAAATTGAATCAAATCAAATCAATCAAATTCTTTATTTCAAGCAGACCACAAAAGGCACTTTTGAACGTAAAGATATTACAAAAGAAAACCTTTTTGCTAATAAAAGCCAAACTTCTTTAATTATTTGGTTGGATACTGTAACACATATTTCTAAATATTTATTACGAAGAAGATAGTGATTATTCGAATAGCTAAGATAGTCCGTGTTAGAAACTATTGTATTTGTAGGTTTATGTTTTAAATCATTCTTTGTTTTAACACGTGTTCATTGCTCATAACTCGGTCTTAAGTTATTGAAGTGTTACGTAAATATCTATGAAACTTAGGTCATAGGATAATTGATACTTAGGTAGTTGCTAGCCGTATGGTGTTATAAATAATTAGTTTGTGTTCATATAAAAATATATCTATATAAAAATCAATGCCACTTTTCGTTGTAATGTAACTCAACAATGCCTTTACCGATTTGGCTTGGATTTTAGTCTTGAATTATTCGTGGAGGTCCAGACGAGGTTTGTACGCAGATAAAATAAAAAAACAAAAATATTGAAAAATTGTTAAATCGACATACACGCGGGCGGAGCCGTAGTCGACCGCAAGTATTAATATAAAAAATATATAAGATTTAGTTAAGGTGGGTAGGGAAGATATATGTAAGTATTTTCCACCTGAGGCCTCGATTCCGTATAAAGTAATTTTTCCCGGTATTTTAAAAACAGCAGCTTTTAAAGCGATACCTCGACTAATATCAAGTATAATTTATAGGCACTCAAGAATATTGTAGCTATCTATCACTGAAAGAATTTCAAAATTTTCAGTAGTTCCAACGATTATCCCCTAGGTACATACAAACTTACAAATTTTAGGTCTTTATAATATAATGTATAATTACTAAATTTGATAAAAAAATTGCCACAAAAATTACAAATATTTGCATAATAATATATTCGTTAGAAACTAACAAGTTAATTAATATAACAAGCAATTTTTTTTTACTTACGTAAATATGCATCTTCGCAATTAACGACGTACGCCAGTAAGAGAATCACAAAATACTGTTTGGTGAACATTTTAATGTTTTATTTAATTTAAATTAAATAATATTATATATAAATGCTTGTTAGAAGGTAACCTATAACTTTTTGGCACAAGAGCTCAACACAAACTGTGAGCGAAAAGGATCAGAGCAACTTATTTATGTTCACGATTCTTTTTCCGTTCAATTAATATCATGATCATTGTCATTATTTGTCAAAATAGGGCACGCGATTGTATACTATGCTCCTCACACTTAAAGACTATAGTGCCGTGTACTCAAGGGTCAGGTCTTAACTTAGGGTTACCAACACAAGTGTAAGTACTTAAGTATGTTTTTTGAACTTTGTCAGGAGGTTGTTGCCGTGGATTTTAAATCTTACTTCACTTAACCTACCTATAGTTTATTTTATGACAATGACATTTTCACAAAAAAGTTTCATTTTGTTTTCTTGCAAATAATGATGATTTTATGTACTATCTGAGTTTAACATGGGCTATTTTTAGTTCATTTTTAATGGAGATTTTAGGTTAAGTCTTTGTTCTAATTAACCCTTTTTTATTGTTATTTCATCATTCTGAAACTAGTTAAACATGTTACTACATGTTAATGTAGGTAAGATTAGAATTATGACTTGTTGTGGGCAGCCCTGTTATAAACCTGACATGTTAACAAGTAAACGTCTATAATTGTTTTTTTTCTGAAGCTTATAGTCTTTTGTTATTGTGCAGAGTTCACCAGTGTTACAGATGCATTTATAAAAGTAATCAGTTTTTAATTGACATCGTAGTAATTAATTGCAGTGCGACGTCTTCCTCCGAGAACTAAAGTAGTGGAGGAAGATGCATTAGGTATACAACCACTAGTGTCTAGTCTAGTGCTGTACAATGAGATTCGGTCTTGTATCTTTCTTCTTTTTACTATTTATACTATGAGATTTGTAGCAAATAACATAATAAGATCGATAACCCAATAATATTTTTTTTTTTGTTGTTCCGGTTCTATGTGTGATGTGTAGATAGGTGAAATTGTATGTTTGTAAACGCACCCACGACACAGGAGAAAATTTCATGTGGGGAAACGTTTTCTAAGAAGAAAAAAAGAAACATGTAACATTGTTTTGTGGTCTCGAATTGACAATTATTCTGTGTACATCCCCACTTTGTTAAACAATAACAAAATTATTATATTGTTCACTGAACACAGGTTTATTAAATACTTTTTTGTTCCTGGCAGGATTTACTAGTTTTAACTGCGTACAATAAAACAACCAGCGGGCAGGGCTATAGTTTAGTTCAATAATTATTTTTTTATTTTAAATTCTGAGTATCGCGTGGAGTTTTTTAGTACTAAATATTTTAATAAACCTAAATAAGAAGAATAACTAGGCATGACTAATAGGCGTATCAAACCTCTTGATATGTATTTTAAAGATTTCTCATCAAAGAGAAAATGATAAAACGCGAGGTCACAGAAACTTTTTTTTTGAGTAAGGAAAATCATCATATTGCTTCTCCCACGTTGTTCGGATGAATTCTTCCCAAAGTTAAGGAAGTCTTGTATTTTTGTACAAGTTACTAAGTGTATGTAAGCATGAGTAACTAGTTGATCACATTTCCTTAAAAAGCAGTGGTTGGCTTTACCTTTCTTCTTCTTTTAAATATATTGTATGTAGAAAACCGTTACTTACAGAAAAATTGAATGGACAGATTCTGTCTTAATAGGATTTAGATGGTAAAGAACTGTGATAGACCGATCGCTGAATTAGATAATTTAAATATACATACATTATGTCCCATAAATATACATACATATTAAATATACATACATACATATGGATTGCGAGGCAATAAGAAAGCTGATATACCTACCAGCGAAACTAGCGAAGATAGTTGAAAATGAGTATCATATAAAACCGAATTATTATGAATATTTTATAAAATGAAAAACACTTTTAAAGAAAAAGCAATTTATAGGCTATGAAACTATTTCGAATCAGCCTCCTCAGGTGCCACAGTTCTTTGTAATATCTAAGTAGATAGATATTATGTTGTCTTGCATTCACAGCGTCGGGGTTAATAACCTTCTAAAAGTTTGAATACATCATTGAAAAAAGTGGAATTCTCCAAACTTTGAACCATGCAATTATGTCCATGATGTTCATCAATTTATTAATGGAATCAATCAATCAATAGATCTCAAATGTAAATTCAAATCTTTTACATGTTGCTGTTATTTATAGTATAAAACTTATAGTTTAAATTGTTATGCAATGGGATCTCCTTATTAAATGGGACTCTGAACACTGTTGAGAATGTAATATGTGGGATTTTGAGCCATTGTGTGGACCTCTGCCCCTGCATCGAAGATAAAAGGGCGCGATGATTACAATAAATGGGACAATTGGGCCAGCTCGACCGGAGTGATACCACGGCCTCTTAGAAAACCGGCGTGCAACCACAACGTTGTGATGTTACCGCAGGCCCAATCCTTTATTTCCTTCCTAAATTTAAATTTCTAAATCTCCGAATCCCAAATCCCTATGGTGGTGCGGGTGTCCATGGGCGGTGCTGATTGCTTCCTACCAGGTAATCCATCAGTCTAGGCAGCTATCAGTTGCTTGCCACATGGAAAAATAAACCAAAAAAGTATATTAATAGATATATGCTGAGTATCAATGTTTAATAATAATAATAATATGCAATGTTCCAATTTAATATTCGTAACCGAACATTTTAATGACGAATTTAGATTAGATACACATTAAGCTAGCCATTATAATCAAACCAGATTTACTGGCTATTCAACCTCGTGGTCTTGTAAATATTATAAAACTAAATTCATTAACACCATAATAAGATACCACAGAATAAAAGTTGCAATAAAAAATAGTTAAAGAAAAAAATATTAATTTATACGATAACCTACAACACATGACAATAAAGTCATGACAACAGTAAAACATAAAAATATCAATCGTCATAAAAATGGCAATCTTTGTCCCATAGAAAAATAAACTAATCTCTAAAAGTTTCATTTATTTAGTTATTTTAAGGTACTAATTGTGGCTATTCAGTTTTAAATTATGTGTTTATTAAAGATATTAAAGGTGCCATTGGTACTAAAAATATAGTTGTTTACTATACTGTTTTTTCAACGTCATTCAGTTAGTCAATATCACCTAGTTGCTTCGCCCGCTCTGGCTGGGACGAAAGAGAGGGAGTGTCAGACTCTTACTGATTTTACATCACCACGTCACTTCTGCCCCGGACCGGGCGGTCACTGCGCTTTTTTTTGGGAAGTCAAAATCATCAAATGTCTTCTCCCGCCGACGGTAAGGCGAGAGAGAGTGTCAGACTGTTACTGACTAAAAACCTCCCCATTCCTTCTCCTGCTCTGGGCCGAGGCCGTGGTGACTCATTGCGCTTAACACGCAACCCCGCCTAAACATCAGCCCTATGGGGCCTGGTCGTTGGTCTATTGGCTCTTTTGTACTTCAACCTCGGCTAGACATGATGCGATTTTACATGAAGAAGATCGTTGACTTACGCGCTCCCCCTTCTTCTCTGCGGGCATGGCTATGTGAATGCCATCGAACTTCTGCTCTGCAATCAGGGAACAACGACTCAATATGCTCCATCCTGACCTCTAGGTGGCAAGTATTTTTGGTAATTTATTTTGAAATGATATGATGATGGTTGTAATATGATACGTGGTCTCCCGTATATCGTTGTAGGCTAAATTCTTTTACATAAAAATATTTTTATTATAACTTTCGTGTGACATTCTAAATTAATTATTATGTTTTTGGCTTACTCACGTAATAATTTGACGAGATACTCGACTAGTTATAAAAATAGTTACTTGACATAAAAAATATTTTTGGAAATTGGGTGTATTGTAGACTGTTTTCTCAATATGGATTTTTTTATATGATAATGTTTAAAATTATTATAATAAGATCTTACTAAAGATACTTAAGTATTTACATAAAGGTCATGCGTAACAGAAGGCATAATTAGGTCTCTTCACTATAATACCCGCTTAGGCTGAAGACAAACTCTTATGAAGAGATACTTAATCATTATTTAAGTTTTTGGGTTGTCCTAAAAATAACACCAAGTTTGTTTGCTCCAAAGGATATTTAGGGTTTAAAGAGTATTTTGTAAGTTATTTATCTTACTATCGTTGACATTTATGCAAACCCCATGAAAAATGTAACAATCAACTCAAGGCTATGTAGGTACGCGTTTATTACCACGGAAGAGTAGGCAGAGGTACACAAAGTCCCATGTTACCAGTGCTTTTTTTTTGTGAGGGGAAAATCAGCAAATGTCTTCTCCCACCCAAAGCCGGGCGGGAGTGAGTGTCAGACTCTTACTGACTAAAACCCTCCTGTTCCTTCTCCTGTTCTGGGCCGAGGTCGTGGTGCCTCATTGCGCTTATCCCGCAACCCCAGAGTTCTATTACGGATATATTAATTCTTCTAAAAGACCTAAAGAAAGCTTCCGCACTACTCGCAATCTCAAGAAAACTCAGACACGGATACCCTTTAAAGAAATCTGATGACGCATGTCGGATTTAATGCGTAAACTATGCTACCATAATAATAGTTCAACGGCTAATACGGACTATATTTTAATGGGTTCGGATCCGTTTCGGATCAGACGCAGCTCTTATAAGCGATATCATTGTTTGTGATTTACCTTATTGTTACTTCGTCATCATTAAACAATTGATTGTATAGTTTCAAAGAAAAAAACATTGATCAATGTGATTTTCTTTGGTAACAAACTTGAAAAACCCGGTGACAAGTATTAAGGGTACGAATACATTTCAAAGTTTAATCAGTTACTGATAAAAAAGGTTACTGATAGCTGCTGCAAGAAAACCCAACTTTTGTCCAAGAAATCAGAGCTCTAGTTACATTTAATTTAATAAAAATAGTGTAAAAATTTACATATGTCCTCTGGTAATTTAACCAATTTCAAAAATCAATTAGAGGTGAAACCTATAAATTATTAAGCAAAATATAAACATACAACTAGGTACCTACAAAATCAAAACATTGTATTTGAATAAACATATTCACCATTGACTTTGCCGATATTAGATGTT